CCCTTGCTGGACAATGGCTGCTGATGATTGTTCAACACCCATCTGGGCATTGGTTAGCTCCCTTGTGGTTTCTGGGGAGCTAATATCTGGTTGATTCCCCAATTCACAGTATATTTTAGTGACAACCATACAGCACAATCTCATAATTTCATATGCACTGATATACATATTTAGATAGAACAATGGCTTTCAGCAGATCATAACTTTTCCCATGATACCTTACATGGCATGCTTTATATGAAATATTACAATGATATAAAAATGATGAAGAGGTAGGTTACAGAGTGCTCCCCCAAGGTATAGAGTGTCACAGAGGGGTTCTCCCATTGCTGTAGTTCATCCACTTCCACAAGATGCGGTAAGTAGGTCGACAGAATTCTTCTATCAATTTACCGCTATCTACACCAGGGATTAGGTCGGTTTAACTATGTCCCTCAGAGCTGTGTTTTTCACACCTCTGAGCATCGTAGCTGGGTTGACCTAACTTTTTAGTGTAGACCTGGCCTTAGAATGTAACCAGAATCTGTATCACTGATTTCTGCTCTGCTGGAAAAGCTGACCTGCAAGGTCCTGACATCTGCTACCGCTTGGCAGATGGGCAAGACTGGTGTCAGACTGGGACAGTAGTATCTGAAGGGGGCATTAGGATTGAGTTGTGTTAATTAATCACAAAGTACTGGCATTCTGTCCAGCCTTCGTACCCAGCCTTCAGAGACTGACACCTCTTGGGTTTCCCTTTCTGTCAGTTTGACCAAAATCAAAAGACTTACTGATGTTGGGTAATAGAGTTTGGCCTGAATCCATACATCATCCTGGGTCATGATCATAGTCCTCACTTCATCCTTGGCCCAAGTTGTTGGTCAATCCATCACAGATATGGCTGGCACAAGAACTTCACAATCTGCCAGAAAATAAATGGTTGTGGTCAATAAGGGACGTGTTGCCTACACCTTCCAGGCTATTTATACTGCCCCAGAACATCCTGGTGATGTAACATTACCGTATTGATACATAATGTGGTGTGGGGAGCATAGCATGCAGGCACAGAATGCTCCTTGTTACATTTGGTGCACTGGATTATGGGATTGGTGCACTGCACTGTGGGATTGCCTACCACAAAGAAAAATGAAAGTTAAGAGAATGTTCTAAACTGACTAAACTAGTGTGAAAGGTTTGATCACAGAGATCCCCTTGGGACTGTCACCTGACGTGCTGAATTTACCTCTGAGCCCATTTTCTCTGCCATCTTGGGACTCCAGAACCCTGTCTTGTTGAGCCAGACACGCTAGCCTGCTGCAACACAGACTTAGATCTGGTCCACGCCCCCAAAGCCGCAGACTTTAGCCAAAAACTGCTCACCAGGTCACTTATCTCCAGCACCCAGACACCCAGTTCCCAATGGGATCCAAACCCCAAATCTGTTTTACTCTTTATAAAGCTTATACAGGGTAAACTCATAAACTATCTGTCCTCTAAAACACTGATGGAGAGATATGCACAGCTGTTTGCTCCCCCAGGTATTAATCACTTACTCTGGGTTTATTAATAAACAAAAATGATTTTATTAAGTATAAAAAGTAGGATTTAAGTGGTTTCAAGTAATAACAGACAGAACAAAGTAAGTTACCAAGCAAAATAAAACAAAACTCTCAAATCTAAGCCTAATACATTAAGAAACTGATTACAGGTAAATCTCACCCTCAGAGATGTTCCAATAAGCTTCTTTCACAGACTAGACTTCTTCCTAGTCTGGGCCCAGTCCTTTCCCCTGGTACAGTCCTTGTCAGTTCCAGCAGACATCTTAGGTGGAAACTAGGGGTTTTCTCATGACTGGACCCCTTTTGTTCTGTTCTACCCCCTTTTATATCTTTGGCACGAGACGGGAATCTTTTGTCTCTCTGGGTTCCCACCCCGCCTTCTATATGGAAAAGCACCAGGTTTAAGATGGATTCCAGTATCAGGTGACATGTTCACATGTCCTGTGAGACCTCAGCCTCCATTCTTCCAGGGCTAACCCCCAGGAATATAGGAAGGCTTGCAGGTAAATAAACCATTTAAAACTAATTGTCCTAGTCAATGGGAGCCATCAAGATTCTAAACCACCATTAATGGCCCACACTTTGCATAATCACAGTAGTACCTCAGAGTTATACTTCATATTCCTAGTTTCAGATACAAGAATGATACATTCATACAAATAGGATGAACACACTCAGTAGATTATGAGCTTTGTAATGATACCTTACAAGAGACCTTTTGCATCAAGCATATTCCAGTTACATCATATTCACACTTATAAACATATTTTTATAAAGCATATGAAGTGCAACATCACAGCTGGCACTAGTCATGCTTCCCATCCATATCAGGAAGCTAGCACACTACCAAGAGCTCAGAATGACACTGGCCCCAAGCAAGACTGTCAATTTTGTCAAAACAGTCAATTCTGGGTCTGATTCTGTTCAATATCTTCATCAATGATTTAGATAATCGCATAGAGAGTACACTTATAAAATCTGTGGATGATACCAGGATGAGAGGGGTTGCAAGTACTTTGGAGGATGGGATTAACATTCAAAATAATCTGGACAAACTGGAGAAATGGTCTGAAGTAAATAGGATAGAATTCAATAAGGGCAAATACAAAGTACGCCACTTAGGAAGGAAAAATCAGTTGCACACATACAAAATGGGAAATGACTGCCTAGCGAGGAGTACCGTGGAAAGGGATCTGAGAGTCAGAGTGGATCACAAGCTAAATGTGAGTCAACAGTGTAACACTGTTGCAAAAAAACCCAAAAAAACCCAAGTATAATTCTAGAATGTATTAGCAGGAGTGTTGTAAGCAAGACACGAGAAGTAATTCTTCTGCTCTAGTCCACACTGATTAGGCCTCAACTAGAATATTGTGTCCAGTTCTGGGCACCACATTTCAGGAAAGATGTGGACAAATTGGAGAAAGTCCAGAGGAGAGCAACAAAAATTATTAAAAGTCTAGAAAACATGACTGATGAGGGAAGATTGAAAAAAATTGGGTTTGTTTAGTCTGGAGAAGTGAAGACTGAGGGGGGGACATGATAATAGTTTTCAAGGACATAAAAGGTTGTTACAAGGAGGGGGGAGAAAAATTATTCTTATTAACCTCTGAGGCTGGGACAAGAAGCAATGGGCTTAAATTGCAGCAAGAGTGGTTTAGGTGGACATTAGGAAAAACTTCCTTTCAGGGTGGGTAAGCCTTGGAATAAATTGCCCAGGGAGATTGTGGAATCTCCGTCATTGGAGATTTTTAAGAGCAGATTAGAGAAACATCTGTCAGGGATAGTCTAGATCAGTGCTTCTCAAGCTATCTGATGTGTGGGACCGGTGTTTTTTTTTCCAATATGCACGCAGACCGGCAGCTGATGGCTCGCAGACTGGCACCGGTCCGCGGACCCACCACTTTGAGTAGCACTGGTCTAGATGATACTTAATCCTGCTATGAGTGCAGGGGACTGGACTAGATGACCTCTTGAGGTCCCTTCCAGTTCTACGATTCTATGATTCTGTTAATTTAATTTCAGTTCCAACAACCTGTGTTAACCCATGTGTATATGTGAATACAACCTAGGTTTCATCTTTAAAAGAATTGGGCACTGAATTTGAGCATCTTTTTGGTCAGGGGTAGATGGGTGATTAATTGTTCATTAGCTTCATGTCTATGTTCTCAGTCAAATTATTTTGGTGCTAACTTCTCCTTACTCCTGGCAATGTTGTTGTCATGAGCAAACTTCACAGCTGCTGCTGATGTGCTCTCTTGTGTTAGGAGGAATGACTCTCACTGTGGCAGTAAATGATAACAAGAAATCTCAGTAATGCACAAATGAGATCATCCTCTCACAACTTCAAACCCACATGTGATTACAAACCATGACATTTCAATGTAGCGTGATCTCCCGCATGATGGAGAAAAGCAGCTTGCCATATGGATCGCTGCTCCATCACATATCTTTGCAAGTACATTCACAGACATGAGTCACAGTAGACAAGAATCGTTAGTGTTTGGGCAAATGTAAGCTGTACTCGAGTGTTCATCGGTGATTATTTTGTTATGTGCTACATCTTGGGGAAACATAAGATGGTTCCTGCTTATAGGGGCCTGAGCCACATAGGAATTATTTTCAATTATATTTGATTGAAAATACATTATGGAAATATGTTGGAGAGCCTGTATCAAGGGCTCTTACTCTCCTAGGCTAGCATGACAGATTGTCTTGTGTACCCTAGCAGCATGAACATCATCATCATGTGAAAATAACTATTCTTGGCTTCCATGTTCCACTAGGGAAATTCATTTGCTTTCATCTAGAAAAATTGTTTGTGCTTTTCAGACCTGCAGATGAGGCAAGATTCAGCAAGTGCGCAAAGGACCCAGTTCTTCTGCCCTTACTCTCGTTAATGGGGCTACTGATAGGAGTAAGAGCTGTAGGATCAGGTCCGTATCCAGATCATATAGTGCTGTAAAATAATTTCAGAAAATTCTAAGGAAGATCAACAATCTCACTAGTGCCTAATGCCTAAACTAGGCGGGGGGAGATTGGTAGCGTGCCTCACCACCCTCTCCCCAAACTGATGGTGTGCTCTAGCTTCCCCCTACCATCATTCATTGCCTTTTCCCATTTGTCAACAATGAGAAGTAGAAGTATGGAATAGCTAGCAAAATCTCCCTAACTTAGTTCAGAGAGGCAGTCTTCTCTAGTAGGTAGGAACACAGCCTAGGAGTTAAGCAACCTGCTTTCTGTTCCTGGCTCTGCCACCAGTGTCATGTGTGGAAGTGAGCAAGCCATTTCACCTTTCACTATCACCATTTCCCCATCTTTAAGAGGGACAGTAAAACTTATCCCCCTCTGTAAAGTGACTCGAGATGTACAGATGAAAAACACTACACAAGAGCCAAGTATCATTGGTTTCAGTACTCTGACATTGCCCCGTACATGACTCTCTTCTGGTGTTTGTTCTGACAGCATTTTGAATGAGCTACGGGAGTCGATGGCCGAAACCGAGGCTTCATTTCGACGTGCCCGGACTTTGCTAGGAGGCCCCAGATTGCAAGCTGCCTCTCCAGTTTCCCTCAGGAGCTTTTCAGAAGAAGCACAAGAAGAAAGCTCTTGGCTTCCAGAATGGCTGGTGAAAGAGTTACTGAAAGGGCAGCAGAGGAGTCACTCAATAGGACTTCTGGAGAATATATTGGAGCGTGAAAGTTTTCGGCATCACATTGACTCTGCCAAGAGTCTGAGGAAAGGAAAGGTATTTTCAGTGCTCTCCAGTTTGTGTCTCCTGTGGTATGCCCCCTTTGTGAATAGCATTTGCCACAGGAGAGGAGCCAGAAAGCCAGAATTCTGGTTTTCAGTGCGAGTGTAATGATCTTAAGAACTTTACAATGTAATGTGTGTTTTAAAAACCCCCCAAAAAGCCTGTTTAGGCATATGCTTGCCTTTTGATGCACCGAGTTATATGGCTAAATCCCTGCATGGTGACGGGGATGTATACTCATATGCAACCCACCTGAAAATTTATCTGGCCATCTAAGAAAGCAGAGCAACAAAAAGCCCTGGATGCTGGCTCTGCAGTAGGCTGATCTGAGGCAGAAACCAATTTAAAAAAAAAATCTGCATACAAAAAGCAACCCTCCAGTTTTATGGTGCGAGTTGCCCAATGTAGGGATCGCTGCTCAGGTACCTGAATTACCTGCATGCACTCCTATAATCAAGACCATCAGCCTACAAGTCTCAAAAGAGTGACTGAGTGTGGGTTTGGGAGGATGATACCTCTAACACTCAGCTGCACCAAGCCTCCACTTAGCTAGTCTAAAAAGGAATGTGGCGAGTTGGGGTGGAATATCAGTTGCTGGAAGTTGGGCTGAGTAAGGACTTGTCTACACTTGAAATGCTAGAGCAGAGCAACTGCGGCACTTCAGTGTGGACGCTGCCTATGCCGATGGGAAAGATTCTCCCATCAACATAAATAACCCACCTCCCTGAGAGGTGGTAATTAGGCTGAGGGGAGAATTCTTTCATTGACCTAGCGCTGTCTACACAGGGACTTACATCGGCTTAATTATGCCACTCAGGGGTTTGGTTTTTTCACACTCCTGAGTGATGCAGTTATGTGGGTGTAACTTTCTAGTACAGACCAGGGCTCAGGACTGCAGGATTTAGCTCAAGAAAAGGAAAAATAGGGTAAGTGTCACATTCTGGGATGCAATCCAAACTGGTGATGAGTTGTCACCTCTCATCCTGTAACCCTTAAGTGCCTTAAAGCTTCGCTATTGTAGCTCTTTGCCTTGGACACCCACAGTCAGCATCAAGCACGCACTCTACGTCTATGTATTGGGCAGCTCTGGTCCAAAGTTTTGGATCCAGGAGCCTGCCTGCAATACCACAGACTTCTACTGGTCTCCACCAGCCTTGGTTAACAACTGGTAAGGTGACTCCATGCTCTCCCCAGCCCCAAAATTTTCCTGAAACGTGTTCTGAAATGTCCAGCTCTGTCCTGGCACAATCAGAGGAATATTAAGGTTTTATTGCTCCTTTAAAGAGTCAGTATCCAACAGTTTGTTATTTTAACTGGAGTTACCAAACAGTTTGGTTCAAACTAGCGCTGGATTGGTTTAGATTAAAGATAAACCAAGTTTATTTAATTCCAAAGAGAGAGGTTTTAAGTGAGTACGTGTATAAGGATTAAAGTCAGAAATGGTTACAAGAGAAATAAAGCTCAAACCCTTTCTAATAACTAAAACTTAACACTCTCTAGAGTTGGTTCAAGATAAAATCCTCACCATGTTTTCACCAAGATGGCTGATCAAACTCCTGAGTCAGGATCCCCAGAAGTCAAAGGGCTGGTACCTTTGTCTTCTTAGGTGAAAGATGGCTAATTTAGGATTCTGTTACCCCTCTCTTTTATAGTCCAATGAATCTTTGAAATGGATTCTTCTGAAGGATACCTCCAGATAAGTCTATTTCTACCTCTGGGGCAGGCAACATGGAGTTTGTCTTGAAGGAAGTGATCTGCTGCTTCTTCTCCCACTGGGGTTGGTTGCTAAAATGCAGATTATTTAGTTTCTACCCCTCCAGTGCGGCAGAATGACCATTAAACACACGATAGTCGATCTTTTCCCTGCTGTAATAGTGTGAGGTTTGCCTCCACAAGTTGTTAGCTTGATGGGTCTGTTTATGTAATATATAAATACATTCTTATGGTCTGTCAAAGTATTTTGGAAGTAACTTCCTGGTGGGAAAACCACATTCCTTTGTCTAGTGTGGGATAACTCTTCTTTGGCTGGCAAACACATTTCAAGAATTATAATTTCAGTTTATGTCCATAGTTCAGTTCTTTGCACCTATATAATGCAATAGAGATGGGCTGAACACTTCAATAGTCTACTCAATAGACCATCCACTATTGATTGGCGTGTCCTTGATCATTTACCCAAGAAACCTATCAAAGAGGATCTCGACTTCCCTCCATCAGTTGTGGAAGTTATGAAAGCCATTAAACAACAGAACTCTGGCAAATCATCCAGAAAAGATAGTATTCCAGCAGAATTGTATAAATTAGCAGGCCCAAAGTTTATCAAGGTGTTCCATGACATCTTGAGGAGCATTTGGGAGGAAGAAGAAATGCCACAAGACTTCAAAGATGCTATTATTGTATTACTGTTCAAAAACAAAGGTAGCAAAGCTGACTGCGGAAACTACAGAGCCATTGCTCTCCTCTGTACAGCAGGGAAAATACTAGCTTGCCTTCTACTGAGCAGACTCATTGCAAACATATATGAGGAGAATCTTCCAGAAGCGCAGTGTGGTTTCAGACCTGTTCGTAGTATTATGGACATGATCGTTGTTGGAAAGCAGGTCCAGGAAAAATGTTTAGAGCAGAACATAGACCCTTATGCAGTTTTCATTGATTTGACCAAAGCTTTTGATACGGTCAACAGAGAGGGTCTAAAGAAAAGGAGTACTACAGGCTATTCTACATAAACTGGGCTGCCCAAGAAGGTTCATATAAATCATCCATCTGTTCCAAGACCACATGACAATGCAAGTGCTCACCAGCAGTGACTTTTCTGATGCATCTGAAATTTCGAATGGAGTGAAGCAAGGCTGCGTACTTGCTCCAGTGCTGTTCAATTTATTTTTTGTCTGTGTCCTCAGCCATGCCACAAGGGACTTGGATCAAGGGATATACATCCGCTACTGACTCAATGGCTCCCTCTTTGATCTTAAAGACTCAATGCGAAGACCAAGATGCTGGAGAGACTTCTCATCTAGGCACTTTTTGCAGATGACTGCGCCTTAATGGTCCATAGATATGATGACCTTCAGGCCATTGTTGATAGGTTTTTTGAAGCATCTTGGATTTACCTCTTTGGATTTACGCTCAATCTTGGTAAGATAGAGGTCTTGTTCCAAACAGCATCTCGTTCCAATGCCCCAGTGCCAGCCATCTTCATCTAAGGCATACAGCTGAAAAATGTGGATCAGTTCAAGTATTTGGGCAGCACCATCTCAAGTGGCAGTTCCCTTGATAAGGTAATTGCCTCCAGAATCAGTAAAGCCACCCAGGCTGACTCCAAACAAAAGTCCTTAACCAACACAACATTCGTCTCTCCACCAAATTGAAGATCTACAGTTCAGTGGTTCTAACATCTCTCCTGTATGGATCTGAGACATGGACTCTTTATTGCTCTAGCAATTTCACATGTGCTACCTCCACTCAATAATGAGCATTCACTGGCAGGACAGAGTGACCAATATTAAGGTAATTGAGAATAGGTGCTGACTCCATGGGTCAGTGAGCACCCATGGAAAAAAATTAGTGGGTGCTTAACACCCACTGGCAGCCAGCTTCCCCCTTTCTCCCCCAGCACTTTCTGTCCACCAGCAGCCCTGTCGATCAACTCCTTCCCCTCCCTCCCAGCACCCCCCGCCTGCTGCAGATCAGCTGTTCTGTGGTGTGCAGGAGGTGCTGGAGGGGTGGGGGAGGAGCGGGGATAGGGCACACTCAGGGGAGGGGCGGAACTGGGCAGGAAGGGGCGGGAAGAGGCAGGGCAGGAGTGGGGGTGTGGGGGAAGGGGTTGGGTGGGGGTGGTGCCTGGGGCAGAACTGGGCAGGAAGAGGTGGGGTGGGATGGAGGCTTGGAGGAAGGGGGTGGGTGGGGGCGGGGTCTAGGGTGGAGCTGGGGGTTGAGCACCCCCAGGGCCCAGAGGTAGCTAGGGCCTGTGTCCTTGAGAAAGAAAACACAACCAACAGTGAGGAAATGTTACTGAGAGCACAATTTAGGTGCACCAGACATGTCATCAGAATGGAAGAACACCATCTCCCAAAACAGATCTTGTAGCTGAGTCAGGGCAAAAGAAAGAAGGATCGTCCATATAAGCACTTCAGAGATAATCTGAAGAGCAGTCTCCAGTGGGCTGGCATCATTCCCAGAGAACTTGAGCAACTTGGCTCAGAACAGGGCTCACTGGCAGTCTCTGTTAAGAGGTTTGTAACAGGTTTGAGAGGGATCGACAAAATCATCTCCAGGCTGCATGTGAAAGGCGCCACAGAGTTGCATCATCAAACATCAAAGATACAGACTTCCCATGCCCTCAGTGCGGCCAACTCAGTGCACCAGGGTTTGGACTTCAGAGTCAAATGTGTAGCCATAGATGAGAACTGCAACAATATCGTTGTTGTTGGCAGCAATGGACTACCAACATGCAACTATATTAGTAACCAGTGGGTTATGAGCTTTCTGTTGATACCTTGCATGGCACTTATCAGATACATTTCATTACATTAGAACTGGTAGGCCAGCTGGAAATTCAATAGCAGATATCAGAGTGCCCCTTGCCCCCTGGGCTGTTCTTAATGTCACAGTAAGAAATATTAAAATGTTCCTGGTTATAAACATATTATGCAGCGAGAAGGGTAATTACAAGGGTGGATTAGTCAGACAAATTCTGCACTTGTATCCAAGTATGAAAAGCTGATAGCCTTAACATGAGTGGCGACTTATGGGAGTGTCTGTGCAATGATACGTACCATTACATATATGGGGAATTATCAGTGTGTTAGGGTTCTGAGCATGGCCAGCGTTACCAAGATATTTCCAGAAGCCTGAGTAGACTCAGTCAAAAGTACCTCTTCTCAAACCAACTGGCCTCTGGAGTTATTATTAAATATTACATCCACTGAAACTCTGTGTGTGTGTGTGTGTGTATTTGTATTCAAGAGCAGAATTTTCCCCTTAATATTTGTGTGGTGCTTGGAAGGTGTCAAGCTCAATATAAATTATAAGTATTATTACTCTTGCATGTTTATACAGTGGTAAAAGTATCATGTCTGTGGTAAATTGTTGTTGTGTCTATGTTAGATCAGTCATGATGCACTCTCACTTTGCCACAGATTCTGTGGATAAGAAGGAACTTTAAGTGAATCAGCTAGAGCAGGGGTGGGCAAACTTTTTGGCCCTAGGGCCACATCGGGTACAGAAATTGTATGGAGGGCCAGATAGGGAAGGCTGGGGGAGGCGATGCCTCCCCAAACAGCGAGGCGTGGCCTGGCCCCTGCCCCCATTCCAGCCCTCCAGAACTCCCACCCCCATCAAACCTCCCCTGCTCCCCACCTCTGACTACCCCCTGGGACTCCTGCATCCTATCCAAACACCCTTGCTCTCTGCCCCCTGACTGCCCCCCGTAGTGCCCCCCCACCCCCATCCAACCCTCCCTGCTCTCCCCGCCCCATGTTACCTGTGGGGTGGGGGAAAGGGGGGCTCAGTCATTTCCCTGTGCGTTTTCCCTGCTTGTTCGGCTGCTCTCCCTGGCAGTCGGGCAGGGCTCACTCCCTGTCTGGGCTTGGCTACTGGGGACAGGGGCCAAGTATGCTGGAGGTGGAGGGGGGCCCTGGTTTGCTCTGCCCCTGTCCTCGGCAGCAGGGCCCAGGCCCCTTGACCACCCCCATGCAACTCCCTCTGTTCCTCACCTCCCCCCCCGAAACTCCCCCTGACCGCCCTGCCCTGGGGCACCAGGTTGGGCCGTGCTATAGCCATGCCACCTGACCAGAGCTGTAGCCACGCTGCCCAGGTGCTGGGGGAACTGTGACTGCGAGGGAGGCAGGGGAACAGAAGGGGAGGACCAGGGGCTAGCCTCCGCCCCGCTCACCACATCGCTGCCGGGGAGTTGGGCTGGCTCCTCTGCAAGCCTGTCCTGACCCCACTCCCTGGCAGGAGCTCGGGGCCAGAGGGAAGGGTCTTGCGGGCCAGATGTGGCCCGCAGGCCGTAGTTTGCCCCCCTCTGAGCTAGAGACTCGAGCCAGTAGGAGCCGTGGCAAAAGGATCCAAAGCAGGGAATGCTGCATTGATGGGGGTGGGAAGAGGTAAAATAAGGTCCAGCCAGGGCCACCTCTTTCCCCAGTATCCCTGCACCCAGAACAGTGCAGGGAAGACACTCCACCCCATCTCTGGGGAAACTAGGATCCAGGCGGTTACTTCACACTTCACCCCCACTCCACTATGTATGTGGCCTTGTTTGGGGGGCGGAACTACAGGGAGGAGCCAGCCAGATGCTCTGTCCAGTAGAAGCTGAAGCAGACAAAGCAGAATTCAGAGACCTGTGTACAGTTTTGACAGGACTTTCTCTGCCCTGTGCTAATTGGTGGTTTGCTGTAACCCTCTCCCTCCCTTTCCTCACAGTCTCTTCACCTCAGCTGCGTTCCACACCTGCCCCTCTTACCACCTTCTCCCCTGCCCAGTCCCCTTCACTCCCCTGCCCTTCAGTGTCCCATCTCCCTTCAGTTTTCTTTCCAGGTAGCTGATCTCTTCCAAACTAAACTCACCTGCCCTCAAAAAATTGTGGAACTAACCTCAGGTTTGCTGCCATCACATTGTTTGCTCTGTTTGTGTGTTTTTATAACCTTTCCCCTACCCTGTGTCTGTTTTGTCTATTTAGACTGTTAACTCCTTGGGCAGGGACTGTTTGCTGCTCTGTTTGTATAGTGCCTAGCACAATGGGGCCCTGTCCTTGGTTGGTCCTTAGGCACTGCCTTAATAATTATGATTAGAACCAAAGTGAAATGCAGCTTGATTCATTGTTTATCATTTCAATGAAGCTAACAGTTGTAGTGTTGCATAGATTACAGCTTCAAAAGACAGATTGTTTATTCAATAAATTATTGATGAATGCAGCTCAGTGAACATTTGAAACAATTGCTTGTCAATCTACTGAATAAATAACAACACCTAAAACACTTACAGTAAATATTGCCTCCTGGATTCAAAGGGACTCAGGAAAAAGGATAGATGGATGCTCTTTTACTTTGTCTTCATAGAGGTATATAAAAATGCATTTCATATTTGAGGGTCTGATTGTGTGGTGGTTTGAGCATCTCCAGCAATGTGTGTGGCTTCAGTAGAAACTGAAAACAGTCAAGTGAAGTTGAGCGTTCTCAATATTTTACAGGATCAGGCCTTTAGTCTGTCATAAGGTTTAGTTTAAAGATGATTTTGATAAAACAAAGAACGGGCCTGATCCTCTTCCAGTTACAGGCAATTACAAACGCCCTTTGTCTTCAGTAGGTGTAGGATTGAATCTTAATTCAGAGAATGTACAATTGGGATTTTCTTAGCATTGATGCAACAATTATGTTTAAGAAAACAGTCTGAGGGGAAAGAAGTTGGTTTAACTTGTACGTAAGTAGAGATCCTCTTCTTTCCTTTCCTCTCGACTCCCTTTTAAACATGAACACACTCAGGCTTCATATCAGTTGTGTATTCCACTTTTGTGTCTTCACTAAAGGTGTGGCTCTAATACAGTACATATATTTTTAACTCTTGCTTTCTCTCTTTATTTTGGAAAGATTGAACAACAAGTGACCCTTGAACAACTTCAGAAACTAAATACAGCTTTTCAGGTATGACTTTATTAGTGAAATCATATTAGTACATAGCCCTGATCACAAAAGGAAATGCCCAATTTATGCAAAACAATGTGTAGATTAGCAATAAACTTGGGGGGCAGGAACTGTTTTTCTCTGTACAGCGATGAGCCTGTTTTGGGTACCACTGTAATACAGGAATCATTTATAGAATCATGGTTGGTACTTCAGATGTTTCAGGTTATGTTGTGTCTTGTGCTTTTATGTAATGTTGTTAATAGGTACATTATGCATTGAGGTTTGTTTCCATATGTAGTTGTCACTCACACCCATGTTTGTTTCTCAGAACTGTGATCTTTCCTAGTTTTGCTTTTTGGTAAAGAATATTTCAGGCTGAACTTGTGGATCTAATTGTTAACATGACAAACTCTTTTTTTTCTTTCTCTGAACTATATATGGGTTTTCTTAATGCATATGCCAAGCAGAATGCCCAGAAGATTTGAATATTCTTTGTGGAACACGTCTTTGTACAAAATAATACAGTTGGTCTCATGCAAATATTTTAGGATCAGCGTTCTAAAATCAATAAAGAACAGGTTTTTTGAACTCTAAAACCCCAATGTGTGGATCATTCCTTTATATCCAGGTTGATCTGCAAAAGGACAAGCAGAAAAAGTGATCAGGGGCTCTACAGTAAAGTTATTACATTAAATAACAATGATACAGTGAACTCCCAATGATCTCAAAGAACAATATACAGAGAGAGCAGATCTACCAGTAGCCTGTACATCAATGTAGTTACACCGGTGCAAAACCCTAATGGCAGACAACAGCACTGTTGCAATCTCCTTTATGCTGAAGTTACGCCAGTGTGAATTTCCTAGTGAGGGGCTGCTGTTTTGTAGGAGGAAGAGGGGAAATGGGAGCTGTGCTCAGGAACTGGAGCCACCAACCACCATCAGGAGCTGTTGCAAGGAGAGAAGGCAGGAACTAATGGAAGGAGAGGAATGTCTGAGGGGGAAGGAAACCTAACACCCAGGTAGCAGGAGAAGGGAGCTGGTGGCCAGGCAGCATGTGCAAAGGGAGAGGAGGAGCAGGAAACATGCAGTAGTGGTAGCATGGTACTTTTTTTTTTTTTGCAATCCAATACCTAAATACTTCCCTAATGCTGCTATTGTTCTAGAAGTCCCAAGGTGGTGTTCTGCATGACTGTGAATGGCTGGGGAAGTTTCTGTCAGAAGAGGGATGATCAGGGAGCTAGCCTGGAACGTAGGAGATCTGAATTCAATTCGCTGCTCCATCCCAGACTTCTGGTGTGATTTTGGGCAAGTTGCTTAGCCTCTGTGGGCCTCAGTTCCCCATCTGCAAAAGTGGGGGTAATTGCACTTCCCCTATTTCCCCGGGATGTTGTGAGGGTAAATACATTACAGGTGTTCTGAAACTACATAGATGAGATGAGCCAAATTATCAAAAAGCTTGAGAATCTCTGCAGTAACTAAAATAGCAGTTTTTTAAGTTCTCAGATTGCTTGTGAAGGAGTCAATGAGCCAACTGCAAAATGAGATAGATGTGCTGACTAAGCCCCCTGCTAGCAGCTTCCTGAAATCTGTGCAAATGTTGCAACCCTTGAGAGCAGGGGTGGGCAAACATTTTGGGTCAAGGGTCACATCTGGGTGGGGAAATTGTGTGCAGGGCAGGGGATTGGGGTGTGGGAGGGAGTGCGGGGTGTGGGAGATGGTGCGGTGTGCAGGAATGGGCTCAGGGCAAGGGATTGGGGCAGAGAAGGAGTGCGGGGAGTATGAGGGGGTTCAGGGAAGGGGGTTGGGGTGCAGGAGAGGTGCAGAGTGCAGGAGGGGTGCGGACTGGGAGGGAGCTCAGGGCAGGGGGTTGGGGTGCAGGAGGGGTGTGGGGTGTGGCAGGGGGCTCAGGGCAAGGAGTTAGGGTGCAGCAGGGGACTCAGGGCAGGGGGTTGGAGTGCATGGAGGTGCAGGGTGCAGCGGGGGCTCAGGGCAGGGGGTTGGGGTGCAGCAGGGGGCTCAGGGCAGGGAGCTGGGGTGCAGGAGGGGTGTGAGGTGCGGCAGGGGGTTCAGGGCAGGGAGTTGGGGTACAGGAGGGGTGTGAGGTGCAGCAGGGGGCTCAGGGGAGGGGGTTGGGTGCAGCATGCAGCAGGCTTAGAGCAGGGAGTTGGGGTGCAGGAGGGGTGCAAGGTGCAGGCAATGAGGTTAGGGCAGGGAGTTGTGGGGCAGGGTGAAGGAGGGGTTCGGGCTCCAGGCTCTGGCCCGGCGCCCCGTACCTAAAGCGGCTCAGGGGTAGCAGCGGCGCGCACCGGGGCCAGGGCAGGCTCCCTTGTGGCCGGCACTATGTCCCTGCGTGATCCCTGGGCTCCACATGCTGCCCTTGCCATGCCTCCAGGGACCTCCCCTCTAGCTCCCACTGGCCGCGGTTCCCCATTCCCGGCCAATGGGAACTGCGGTGCCTGGAGGCAAGGGCAACGCATGGAGCCCTCTGCCCCCGCCCCCGGGGCCACAGGGACATGCCGGCTGCTTCTGACGGTGACGCAGGGCCTGGGGCACCATGGGGGGCAATCCTGCGGGCCGGATCCAAAGCTCTGAGGGGCTGGATCTGGCCCGCAGGTTGTAGTTTGCCCACCCCTGCTTTAGAGGAAGTTTGATAAGTTGAGCAGTGCAGTCATCAGTTCTGGAAATACAATGACTCCTCCCATCTGGTTGAATTCAAGCCCTAGAAATAGCACTGAGAGGCATTAATATATGGTCTGAAATGAGCAAAACTCAATGCTCAGGTTCAAACCGACACTTACTTGCACTTCTAGCCAACCATGTCCTACTCGCTCAGAGCGCCTGTGCTCCCACAGGGGGTCAGTGGAAGGGAGGGAGGGGAAAATGAAACAGGGCTACATGGCTGGAGGGAGAAACAAACAGGGGTGACCCAGAAGAGAGAAGAGGGGCCAGTGAGAGAGAAATGAGAAGGGGGGGGGAAGGGCCCAATCCAACTGAAGTCCATGGGAGCTGTTCCGAGGTCTTTTATGTGGATTGGTGCCCTGCAGGGAGGGAGAGGCAGAGAGGAAATAGGGAAACAGGATGGGGAGTGAGATGAGATGGGGGACTAGGGAAGGAAAGAATGGGGAACAGTGATAGGAGAGAGACAGTAAAACAATAAAAGGGAGAAAAAGAGACAAAAGAGTTTAGTGCTAGGGAGGATGAAGGGAGAGATGGAAGGAAAGAATAAGAGAAGGAAAAATAAAAAGCGAGGAACAATTCACCACTTTCAGGTTAGACTCTATTCATACATTTTTTTCACAACAATTTAGAGCCTGGTGGGGAGTGGTGAGATCGGGGCCAATTGTAGCCTGGGCCTGAAGGGCATATTTTCAGATTGATGGTGGGGAAAGAGATGTATTTGCTCAGTTCATGGACCTGAACATCCTTGCAGGCTGGGTAGATGGGACACTGACCACTGTCCCAAACTGCCCCGTTGGGCATGGGGAGGATTGAACTTCCCATTCCTCACTTGTGGAACGTGATCCAGAGACTGCCCCCAAACCTGGTGGGTCTGGGGAGGCCAGGGCTGCTCAGCCAGACATCCTGTGCCCCTTCCTTGGCCCTGGTAGCTTCGTCCAGCTCCCTGGCAGCATGACTTCATTGGACTCTCCTCTGTCTATGTCGGCCTCCGAGACCCAGGGATTATACCACAAAGGTGGTAGAGCTCTAAGATGTATTAACTTTTCCAGGATCCTTCCCTGGGACCAGATAGAGGAGGATTTACATGCTCCCTTCAGCCCACCCACTGATCCTCCCAGCTACCCTCTTTCTCCCCTTTTACCTCCCCGGTACAGACCAGAGAGGTCCCTGCTAGGTCTGGAGGAAGGTGGTTAAGCCACCCACTTCTGTATGGAACAGGTGGGCTGTGTTGGATCTATGGAACAACAGTCTGGCCTGATATATATTACAAACCCACAATATCCTATCGAGAAGTCTACCTTGACACCAGGTGTCCTGTGATAGGATGGACTGGCCAAGCAGTAATATAGCATTTATAGCCATGCCAACCCTTGCTAACAGCAGACTGTTAGAAGGGTCAGACTAGAGGAGCATGCTGTTCCTTTTCATATAACGTTCCTGTTCCTGTTATGTTTCTCTAACCTTGTGGTCTGTCTTAGGCTTCCTACTAGTCATAAAGGAACACAGTAAAAGGCTGATGATTGATGATGTTAGACTACTTTACAAGTACACTCGTTATTGTCCATTATATGCTCCATGACTTGCTGTAATACTCTTCTTGGATACCAAACATTTTGAATATTGTCTCAGGGCATGGCTACACTAGAGCTACATGGCATGGCTACATGTAGAGCGCTTTGAGTTAAACCAGCCTTTGGCGAGCGCAGAAGGGAAAGCGCTGTAGTCTGTCCACACTGACAGCTTCAAGTGCACTGGCATGGCCACATTTGCGGCACTTGCAGTGGCATTGAGCGCGGTGCATTATGGGCAGCTATCCCAGCATGCAAGTGACTGCAACGTGCTTTTCAAATTGGGGTGGGGGTGGAGTGTGACAGGGAGTGTGTTGTGTGTATTTGGGGGGAGAGAGAGTAGGTTTTTGGGGGGGCTGAGAGCATGTCAGCATGATGTTTTGTAAGTTCAGACAGCAGCAGACCCCCCCTTCCCCCTCCGCCTCTCTCTCTCACACACAGCATTCCACAGTAATGGTTGCTTTGTCTCGGAGCAGGTAAGCATGGCCGCTGTCAGAAACGGAGCTTTCAAAGGGCATATCCGCATTCCTACAGTGATTCCAAAACAATGAGAAGAGTGGCCACTTGACTTCAGGGGATTATGGGACGTTTCCAGAGGCTGATCAGAGCGCAGTAATGCAACACCTTGTCCACATTGGTGCCACGGCACTCCAGCGGGAGCACAGCAAATGTTATTCCACTTGCCAAGGTGGAGTACCAGCAGCGCTGTACCTGCAGAGTCAGAGCGCTCTACCTGCCTTGCCAGTGTGGACGGGTAGTGAGCTCGTGTGCCCAGGGCTCCTTTATTGCGCTGTAACTCGCAAGTGTAGCCAAGCCCTCAGTGTTCCCATTTCCTTGAGTTGCTGGTACCCATGTATGAACTGAAAAGTGTTAATGGATGCTTTTGGGTACTTAGCACATATACCAAGCTGTGAAAATATTGATACCCACTAGCATCCACTGGTATTGTGCCCACTGTAAATCCTTTGCTTCCCAAATAAGGAAACTGGTAGATCCTGAATCTGGGTCCTTTGTGTGCTGGGGAGAGAGGGATCTTCTGGATATCCAGATAGATTAACACATTAAATCAATAAGTTAAATTAAAGTATGGTGCATACACTTGAAACTATTTCCCTAATAGTTATAATTTTCTCTGCCAGCATTTCCCAAATTTAGCAAACTAAGCCTTTCTCAAAAAAGGCTACATTTATTAGAAGTTTGAAACTACCATAATTTTTTATGTATCCGAGTGCAAAACCAGTCTGAATGTTTTTTTGGCAAGGGTTTGGAGTTTATTTTTAATGAGTAGGATAAACAATATTATTATCACATTCAGGTAACTAAAAAATAGCTACACAGATTTTCTTGATATTATTAAAAAAAATTCGGGAGTAAGAAAGCATGAGAAATCTCAGTCTAAATGTTATAATTTAGAGCAATAGGCTGATACATGCATATCTAAGCATCTATCTATGTTAATGCAAGCTAAGGCTATGATACCATGTTTTCTAGGCTAGCGTACTGTAAAAATTCAGGTGGCATCCCACAATATATAGTATAAGACTGTGACCAAGTTTTAAAGAGGAAATGGTCCTGAAGATTAGGTTCATGTTAAGGTACTCACATAACGGTGCTCTTTTACAACAAGCAAATCAAAGGTAGTCCTTTTCAGTAGCTAACTGTGCTTTGCCTGTTGCTGCTTCTGCTTTCAGGAGTTAGAAAAGAATGGATGTAAATCACTAGATATGGAGAAATTCAAGCAGGTAGTGAAGAACTGTATGGCACCACATAGAACAGTAAGTGAGCAATTCTCTTAAAAAAGTTGTATAATAGAAAACCTTTTACATTAAAGCCTAGCTCAGCTCTGGGCATAACCTTGAAATCTTGAATATATTTGATCCATGAGTTGTTGGATTGACTGGCTTCTTCCTGCAAACCCAAGAATGTTATACATCTGTACTAAAAGTTCAGAGCAAATGAGTGTTAAAGTTCCCATTCTGGGCTTGAAACTGGGAGTTCTTCCGAGTAAACACTGCAGGATTGGACCCTTTAGGACAACTCTCTTAACAGATCTGAACAACATCTGGAACTTTTTCTTCTGTGTTCAGTCTTTGGATCTGAGGATTTGAAAAGTTTAGATAAAACACAACAAATTTGGAGTATTCCAATGTGATTCACATTTGGAAACAAGCTAGGAAATCAAATAGAATTTTTTTTTAAATTTAAATAATGTAGCATTTGCAAAACCCGTTGTCCCTAGCTGGGGAGAGATGCACTATGAAAACTTAAAATCTTTTGATTATTCTTCATATACTGTACTTGTAATATATAACAATACTTTTAATATGCCTTTTTCCCGTAGAGTGATGAACAAATAGAAAAACTTTTCATGAAAATAGACTGTGCTGCAACGGGAAGAATTCAGTGGGTGAGTGAGTGTATGTGTGGGTGGTGGTTGTTTCGGGGGCTTTTTGCAGTTCGTGGATCAAAACTTTGTCAGTAAGGAAAGTGTGTCAGAATTGCAGATCCACAACTTCTGGAGACATAACTCAAGTGGGACTAAACGTTTATTTTATTCAACCTTTTTAAATCAGTGGTGGAAATTTAATTCAAAGGGAAGGGGCAAAATGTATAATTATAGTTTACAGAATATTTTGGAAAGAGAGAGAGTATTAAAATGAGATTTATTGTTTCAAAGTGAAAATATTCCCCAGCATGCATCATTTTATCCTACTTTAGAGTATGACCTAGGAAGGGGTCCAAGTCTCATGGTTGTATTTTGACTTAAGTAAGCAAGAAGTTAGGAATATTATCCTGGAATCCTTTTCCAATCAAACTTACATAAATTCACAGCTCCAGCATCTTGTCAATGCTCTCTTTGTTCTGTACAGCACTAAGCATGCAACTCGTGCTCCAAAAAATAAAGTACCTGCATCTCATGATATTAATATAGAATGTGACATTGTTTCTTCCAGCTAGAAATAATGACTAGGTAGCTGGCCAGTGAGGATTGCTGATATATTTTTTATCTTATAATAATAACAATATACTTGATAATTATTAATAAATATATTATTCGTATTATTATTATTATTATAAATAAAAAACTTGTAACCCTCAAGTTGTGAACTTAAGACATGGTTCAGCAAAGCATGTAAGGACAGGGGCCCTTGCTGGTCTGTGTAGCAGCATATTCCGATTGCATTTGCCTTTGTCCTCTCCCTCACATTCCTTCTATTTATTGCACCAACTAGTTCCATCTTGGTCATCTTAGATTACAATTTCATTGTGGCAGGTGCCTTGTTTTTCTGTATGTTTGTAAAATGCCTAGCACAAAAGGCCCCCAACTCTCACTGGTGCCTCTAGGCACCACCATAGTAACATATTCGCTGTCTTTCTATTATAACTATGAATCACCAGCTCTTTTCTGTACTAGGATGAGTTCTGCACATACATGCAGCTAGAATATGCAGAACAAGACGTGTCATCTGCCCGATTAAAGGAGCTGACATTCTCGCTTCCTGCTGTGATAGTAGAACGCTCTCCTGGAGAGCCTGTCCTGCGCATTTGTTCTCTGTTTGACAACACCTTAGTAATGACTCAAGAAGATGGAGTTATTTCCTTCTGGTCTCCACAACTAAAGCTGAAACGAAGCAAGATGGTTTTTGTATGTGCATTTTATTTTCTCAGTAACTGCTCAGGTTTCATGGAAATGCTAGAACGCTTGATTTCATTGACAATTAAATTGTTTATTTTAAGTACAACATTGTAAATCATGATTGATTCTGCTATATTACCAGCACGATAGGGAACTGCTCTTAAAATATAAGTTTTTATTATGCTCCCTTGTTCTATGGTGATTTAAAGCAGAAATGATTCTTTACATGCTGTTCGGAATAAAAGTTTGTAATGGCTGAATTTGCAGAGGTCCTGAGCACCCTCCTGGCTTTTCCTGAGGTGACCTGGGAAAAGTACATGTTAAATGCAGTTGAATTTAACTGAAATTACACAAGCAAGGTGGAGAAGGATCATACATGTGGGGCTGGAAGGGACCTCAAGAAGTCATCAAGTAAGCTCCCTGAGCTGAGGCAGGAGCAAGTATACCTAGACCATCCCTCTTCTGGTGGTTCTGGAATACTCCACAACCCTGCCCACAGGATAATAAACGGTAATAACATCACCAGAACAAACTTGTATTTGCTGAGCGTGTGATGCTGTTCACGAGTAACTTCTCAGAGGTATTAACCTTTTTTGAGTGCTGTAGGTCCTGATCCAGTGACAATGGCTATCAACTCTACCAGGGTTCAGTGGGACTTGAGTGCTCAGCACCCTGCAGGGTTGGACCTGTATATAATAATTTGACACCATATAACGTTTTGAGATTTGCTTCTGGGCTATATCCTGTAGGCAGCAGCTTTGTGTGTAAGAAATGGTTCCACTCAGAGGGACTTGGGAAATGAAATGAACTAAGGGCTGATCCCAAGAGATGCTGAGTGCCTCTTAATTCCCATTATATTCAGTGGGAAGTGTCCTGTGCTTTGCAGGATCTGGCTATAAAGGACATATACTCTTCCTAGTTAACCTATGCAACCCCCTTTCAGTGGGTTTGCAACAGTGTCACCAAGAACAGATTCAGCCCTCATCTGTGGTGTCTTGTCTTTTCATATGATGTAGGGATGACAACTAGCTCTCTCACTTTTTAGGAAAAATCTGTCAACAAAAAATCTAAGTGGGCGACAGATTTCACTGTTATGACACATTACAACAAACTCATCCTGGGAACTGGGTAAGTGCTGTTCTTTACCAGAATCAGAACTAAAATTGAATGTGGTATTATCAGCACTAATTATCTCTGGGGGCTGGGAACTTGCAGAATAACGCTACGTAAGTGAAACAGTTGGTGATGTGAGTTCCAAAAATGCTGTCACAGCTGGTGTTCTTGTGGACAGCCTCATGGTGGCTGAACTGCCCCCTCACACCCACAGAGAGTCTTTCCAGGTCAGTGTAGAGTGAGATTGGGAATGCAGAATAGGGAAGCGTGTGCTGACCATATTGTCATTAATTAATTCATTTATTAGGTTATTAATAATCATAACATAAAGCTGTGTATGCCCCTTTAAAGACATAAAACCTGTTCCTTGTCCTGAAGTGCCTGAATCTAAGTTATTGTACCAGCCCACACCCCCAGACCCTTAAATACCAGGTTCAGGATTTAATCCAGCCCAAACTGGTAATGAAATGACAAAAAGTTATTCCTATCTGATGGCTGCTCAGTGGCCTATGTGCAATGAGATTGGTGATCTCAATCCAAATTCCTATGAAAGGATGCCCCTACCTGAAAAATCACCACCACAGATTTCAAGCTTGTTACAGTCCTCTGCTAAGAGGCCAAGGATGGAGTGAACATGGAGATTGGTCCCTTAGAGGAGGTCTCTCAGGGTCAGGGATTAGGGTTTGGCTACACTTGTGAGTTAGAGCGCATTAAAGCAGCCCCTGGTGCCCTAGCTCACTCCCTGTCCACACTGGCAAGGCAGGTAGAGCACTCTGACTCCATGGCTAGAGCGCTCCCGGTACTCCACGTCGGCGAGAAGATTAACACTTGTTGCATAGTGGCTGAAACGCCCGGGCGTCACTGTGAATGAGGTGTTGCATTAGTGCACTCTGATCAGCCTCCGGAAACATCCCATAATCCCCTGAAGTCAAGTGGCCACTCTTCTCATTGTTTTGGAATCACTGTAGGAATGCGGATATGCCCTTTGAAAGCTCCGTTTCTGACAGCGGGCATGCTTACCTGCTCCGAGACAAAGCAACCTTTAGTGTGGAATGCTGTGTGTGAGAGAGAGAGGGGGAGGGGGGTCTGCTGCTATCTGAACTTACAAAACAGCATGCTGACGTGTTCTCAGCCCCCCAAAAACTCACTCTTTCTCTCTGCACATACAACACACTCCCTGTCACACACCACTCCACCCCACCCCCCCATTTGAAAATCACGTTGCAGTCACTTGCATGCTGGGATAGCTTCCCATAATGCACCGCTCCCAATTCCGCTGCAAGTGCAGCAAATGTGTACACGCCAGTGCGCTCAAAGCCGTCAGTGTGGACAGATTGCAGGGCTTTCCCTCTTGTGCACTATGAAGGCTGGTTTAACTCAAAGTGCTCTACATGTGCAAGTGTATCCATATCCTTAGATACATTGGTGGGTAAGAAATGGTTCCACTCAGAGGGACTTGAGAAATGAAACGAACTAAGGGGCAGTGTGGAGAAGATTGTCTTGCAACATCCTCAAAATACTTGTTTGATAGTTAAACAGAAGATTTCAATCTCCAGGACTGCTAGATAAACAACATCCTTAAATTAACTACACTTCACACCCATTAAAAAATATAATTTAAAAGACAAACTGTTTAAAAGAAAAGATTAACAGTGCCTCAAAGGGATGACTGAAATCTGCTGCTCATTTAAAATCTGTCTTGTTTTCTGACAGGGATCGTGAAATCCAGTTGTATGAGATGTCCAACTTCGAACCATACTGCCAGATCAGTGGTTTGGAAGCAATCCCTTTAAAACTTGACTATTGGTAAGCAATGTTCTATGTTCATGTTGTCAGTCCCAGGTCAACAGTATTTCATTGCACACTTTTAGACACAAGGTATTTATTTGTGATATCTGTCTGGTCTTGGTATCATCTCAGTGTTCAGTTTTTCTGTTTGTGTGGTATCTTGTGCTATTTCTTTTCAACATCCTGTCAGACATACAGTGTTTTGTTGTCAGTTCATCATTTTATCCCTATAGATGATGATCAGAGTTTTACTTTTCTACTTCAATTTGTACATTTTGGCTCTTATTAAGCAAGATAGTGGGACACTCATATGCTTAAAGTTAGGCAAGTGCTAAAGTACAGTGGTGCATCAGGGCTGTAACGGGAAGTGAATATCAGTCTTCATAATGTGCATGTTGAAAAGCTATCACCAAAATATTGTGCACGGATAAATATGCAATGAGGGTGGGAGGTAGGAGATTACTCTGACTGGATATTGTGGTAGAAGTTGAGTAGTGTGGATGAAATGACCTCAGTGCTTCCTCGTGAAGTTCTATAGTAGTTACCGCGTATTGGAGATCATTAAGCAACTGGAAAGCCTCATTTTATTTCCTATAAAAACGTGTTTATTTCTCTTTGTTTCAAAATCTTACCAAAACACGCATCTGTCTCATGTTCATGTACACAGAATTCCTATGCAACCTTGGGCAAATTACCTGAGGTAGAATTTCAAAAGTACTGTAGTGATTTACGAGTCAGTCCGGGGGGGGGGCGCGGGGCGGTGGCGGTCCAGAGGTGCCACGGGTGCTGGGGAAGGTGGCCCGGGGGACTCCGCTGTTGCTGGGGCGGGAGGTTGTCAGGGCTATCAGGGGCTCCCTACCCAGCTCCATGTCTCTGCAGCTCCTAGGCGGTGGAGGAGTCAGGGGGCTCGGCACACTGCTCCTGCCACAAGCGCCAGCTGCCACAGCTCCCACTGGCCAGGAACTGCAGCCAATGGGAGCTGCGGGGGCAAGACCTGCAGGCATGAGCAGTGTGCGGTGCAGAGCCCCCCTCATTCTCCCCCCCGACCCCTTCGCCACCTAGGAGCTGCACTCCTAGGTAAGCCCCACTCTGAGGTAAGCTCCCCCCTGCCCCTAGCCCCCTCCCACACACCCAAACTGCTGCTGCTGGCCCAGGGGCTGCCCAAGTCGGGCAGCCCTTGGGCCAGCACCAGCAGCTGCAGAAGTCACTGAGGTCACAAAAAGTTACGGAATCCGTGACTTCTGTGACCTCCGTGACAGACTCGCAGCCTAACTCATAGGTCATGTTTCCTAGACCTGTAATCATTTATGTTGCTCTCCTCTGGACTTTCTCCAATTTGTCCACATCTTTCCTGAAATGTGGCACCCAGAACTGGGCACAGTACTCCAGTTGAGGCCTAATCAGCGTGGAGTAGAACGGAAGAATTACTTCTCATGTTTTGCATACAATCCTCCTGCTAATACATCCCAGAATGATGTTTGCTTTTTTTTTTTTTTTTTTGCAGTAGTGTTGACTCTTGACTCTCATTTAGCTTGTGATCCACTGTGACTCCCAGATCCCTTTCTGCAGTGTTCCTTCCTTGGCAGTCATTTCCCATTTTGTATATGTGCAACTGATTGTTCCTTCCTAAGTAGAATACTTTGCATTTGTCCTTATTGAATTTCATCCTACTTACTTCAGACCATTTCTCTAGTTTGTCCAGATCATTTTGAATTTTAATCCTATCCCCCAAAGTATTTGCAACTCCTCCAAGCTTGATATCAACCACAGACCTCGTAAGTGTACTCTCTGTGTGATTTTCTAAATCATTGATGAAGATATTGAACAGAACTGGACATGTTGAGCCACTGTTTTTCTTCACTTAAAAAAAATCTCCCTGTGCACAGTCTGTGTTCTAGTTTATGGCATTAAACTCTGCATTTATGACATTAAATTCTGCATCACATTCCTGGTGCCAAATGCAACATGGAGTAAATGGGTCCCTGAATATGTCAAGGCCAAATTGAGCAGGGACATGAATGAGGGAGTGGCTTACACTTTGTGTCAAAGTAGTGAAGTAATTTTCACCAATTTGTCATTCTGTGGATGTGCAAAAACAGGGGTAACATAGAGAAGTATTCTATTTGTGTTCTCCTTCATCACTACCTCTATCTCTCTCATCACTGTAGTATCCGAGTGCCTTCTGGTAGTGCATAAACAACACAACTAACATCTGTCATGTGTGGTTTGTTCTCTCTCTGTGTGTTCATGGCAGAGAAAAGAAGCCAAAGATGTGTACCTTTCACTTGGAGCAGAAGGTAGTGAGGTTTGTGGTGGCCCTCAGTTCCTAGGGGAATTCATTATGCAGTGTTGGATCAGCCTCTAATAAGTTCTTGTCTCCTGCACAGACGAGCTTCACCTTTGTGACAGAAAATTCCATTATGCCTGAGGAGCAGAATTATTGATCATTGTCTTCATCCCAGAGCTTTATGTGATTTTTAGGTATCCTAGGCCATTGGGTTATCAGGAATCTCTGTCGCATGCATATTGCTCGCTGGTTTGATGATGTTCGTTGTGGTTTCACACTTAACAGGATAGGCTGCGTGAATGTCGTCATATTCCAACCTGTTATCAGCAATATGTAAGATAAAGCAGCCCTCTCTCTCCATTAACATTTACTTGCAGTTTGCACCATCCACAACACTGGTGGGGACCAAATTTGTCCCTGGTGTAAGTAGATAGACCTCCCATTGAGTTAAGGAGAACATTTATCCTTATACCAGGCCTGAATTTAGTCTTCACAGAATGCTACACCTGTGAACAGCGGCGGATTAGAGGTTTGTGGGGCCCTGGGCCAGAACAAGGTGGGGAGGAGTGCTAGGCAGGCAGAGCAGGTTGGGGTGCCCACTTTTCTGGGGTCCCCCCAGTTGGCTGGGGCACCTGGGCCCCGTTGGTCCAGTGGCTAATCCACCACTGGCTGTGAACATGGCATTTGTTTTGTCTAATGTATGTTTCACTCAGTCCGACTTTTATTTCTTTTAAACTGAAGTGTTTTGACTAGATTGCACTTATCCTTTTTTCCATCTTTTTTTAGTTGCACTGATCCTGATGAGTGCATGATTCTGTATGGTGATGACCAGGTAGATTTTTTTGGTGTGTTTTTTAAAACAACAACAAAACAGTGGTTGATATAAGTAGGGCCCGTCATTTATTTAATTTTTCCAGGGAATTATCAGTGTTTATTACTACAACAAAAACAGGTGAAAATTGGTGGAAAAAACTATTAATAATTTTTCTGGATAAATATTGGGGTTTATTTTGGTGGATGGAAGGACAGGGGGAAAAGTATTCAGTAAATTAATGCTTTGATGAACGGAATTCAATGTGGCTTGCTGCGGAACTAAAACAGAACTTAAATACAATGCCACCTTTGACTTTAAGAAAACAATATATCTCTAATCCCCAAATAAAACTTTTCATTTGAATAAACAGTTTACGTTGTAGACTTAGACCCATTAGCCTATAAATATTTAAATTTAATAATTGGGCCACACCATTTGCAGTGCATACACTCAACTTCATCCTTTTCTCCTGTTTTTGTTTTTTTAAAACTTTCAACTACTTCCTGTGTTCTGAAAAAAGAAAAGGAGTACTTGTGGCACCTTAGAGACTAACCAATTTATTTGAGCATAAGCTTTCGTGAGCTACAGCTCACTTCATCGGATGCATACTGTGGAAAGTGTAGAAGATCTTTTTATACACACAAAGCATGAAAAAATACCTCCCTCCACCACACTCTCCTGCTGGTAATAGCTTATCTAAAGTGATCACTCTCCTTACAATGTGTATGATAATCAAGGTGGGCCATTTCCAGCACAAATCCAGGGTTTAACAAGAACATCTGAGGAGGCGGCGGGGGGTAGGAAAAAACAAGGGGAAAAAACAAGTCCGTCTTTGTGTGGAATGTTGGTGTAGAGGGCTTCTACATCCATAGTGGCCAGGATGGTGTTATCAGGAAGATCACCGATAGATTGTAGTTTCCTCAGGAAGTCAGTGGTGTCTCAAAGGTAGCTGGGAGTGCTGGTAGCGTAGGGCCTGAGGAGGCAGTCTACATAGCCAGACAGTCCTGCTGTCAGGGTGCCAATGCCTGAGATGATGGGGCTATGGATGTAGAAACCCTCTACACCCACATTCCACACACAGATGGACTACAAGCCATCAAGAACACTATCCCCAATAATGTCACGGCTAACCTGGTGGCTGAACTTTGTGACTTTGTCCTTACGCATAACTATTTTACATTTGGGGACAATGTATACCTTCAAATCAGCGGCATTGCTATGGGTACCCGCATGGCCCCACAGTATGCCAACATTTTTATGGCTGACTTAGAACTACGCTTCCTCAGCTCTTGTCCCCTAACGCCCCTACTCTACTTGCGCTATATTGATGACATCTTCATCATCTGGACTCATGGAAAAGAAGCCCTTGAGGAATTCCACCATGATTTCAACAATTTCCATCCCACCATCAACCTCAGCCTGGTCCAGTCCACAGAAGAGATCCACTTCCTGGACACTACAGTGCTAATAAACGATGGTCACATAAACACCACCCTATACCGGAAACCTACTGACCGCTATTCCTACCTACATGCCTCCAGCTTTCATCCTGACCACACCACATGATCCATTGTCTACAGCCAAGCTCTGCGATACAATCGCATTTGCTCCAACCCCTCAGACAGAGACAAACACCTACAAGATCTCTATCAAGCATTCTTACAACTACAATACCCACCTGCGGAAGTGAAGAAACAGATTGATAGAGCCAGAAGAGTTCCCAGAAGTCACCTACTACAGGACAGGCCTAACAAAGAAAATAACAGAACGCCACTAGCCGTCACCTTCAGCCCCCAACTAAAACCCTTCCAACGCATTATCAAGGATCTACAACCTATCCTGAAGGATGACCTAACACTCTCACAAATCTTGGGAGACAGGCCAGTCCTTGCCTACAGACAGCCCCCCAACCTGAAGCAAATACTCACCAGCAACCACATACCACACAACAGAACCACTAACCCAGGAACCTATCCTTGCAACAAAGCCCGTTGCCAGCTGTGCCCACATATCTATTCAGGGGACACCATCACAGGGCCTAATAACATCAGCCACACTGTCAGAGGCTCGTTCACCTGCACATCCACCAATGTGATATATGCCATCATGTGCCAGCAATGCCCCTCTGCCATGTACATTGGTCAAACTGGATAGTCTCTACGTAAAAGAATAAATGGACACAAATCAGATGTCAAGAATTATAACATTCATAAACCAGTTGGAGAACACTTCAATCTCTCTGGTCACGCGATTACAGACATGAAAGTTGCGATATTACAACAAAAAAACTTCAAAACCAGACTCCAGCGAGAGACTGTTGAATTGGAATTCATTTGCAAATTGGATACAATTAACTTAGGCTTGAATAGAGACTGGGAGTGGCTAAGTCATTATGCAAGGTAACCTATTTCCCCTTGTTTTTTCCTACCCCCTGCCGCCTCCTCAGATGTTCTTGTTAAACCCTGGATTTGTGCTGGAAATGGCCCACCTTGATTATCATACACATTGTAAGGAGAGTGATCACTTTAGATAAGCTATTACCAGCAGGAGAGTGGGGTGGAGGGAGGTATTTTTTCATGCTTTGTGTGTATAAAAAGATCTTCTACACTTTCCACAGTATGCATCCGATGAAGTGAGCTGTAGCTCACGAAAGCTTATGCTCAAATAAATTGGTTAGTCTCTAAGGTGCCACAAGTACTCCTTTTCTTTTTGCGAATACAGACTAACACGGCTGTTACTGTGAAACCTGTGTTCTGAAACATATTCTGATACAGATTTTCGTTTTCTTTCCATTTTAGTGTGTCAGATCTTTAAACCGTTATCTGCGAATAGTTTGAAATGTGTACATGATGGGCGTGAGATTCATCAGTATGTTCAAATTTGCATGCACTTCAGAGCTTGCATGCGTGCCTGTTTTCTTTATTGTTTTATCTTCTACACTAATACGTAGCCTTACTTCAACAGGCAGCTTTTGTATTCATGTATTAACAGACTAAGGTATTATCGTAATACATATATCTCATGCAATGTATTGTATTTTCCTAATAAAACAAGTTATTTTTTATATATTTGAATGATACAAAAGTAGAGAAAATCAGAAAAAACGAATAATACTTTCTGTAAAACCTGGGATTTTTTTTGGTAAAAATTGGTTTAATCTGAAAACAAAGGGGCTTAAATATAAGCCATGAACTCACGGGGCATCCCTTAGATCTTTGGGTAATCAGGGACCTGTCCTAGAAGTGTCTCCTGGCCAGTCTCCCTGATTATCCAATGGATGGGGTGTGTAAGGTACACCTTTTATACAGTAGGTTGCAGGACTGCTACTTGTAGGTCAGGCTTCTGTACCAGATACAGACTGACTACAGAGCTTCCTTCCCAGAGAGATATACCAGAGGTGTTCACTGTAAGATCCTTTAAAGCACTTCCTGGCTCTAGCTGTGACCAGCTCAGATAAAGTATGGCACCCCCTTGTGGCTGAAGCCCCCATATCAGAACCTCCCCCTCCCCCTAGTGCATCCTGCTTGCCAGAAGGCCCCACCAATCAACACATCCCCCTCCTTCCCCGCGCCTCCCGCCCACTGCAATCAGCTGTTTCGCGGCATGCGGGAGGCTCTGGGCGGGAGGGGGAAGGAGCGAGGATGCGGCGTGCTTGGGGGAGGGGGCGGAACGGGATGGGAAGAGGCAGGTGGGGTGGAGTGGGGGAGGAGTCTCGGGCAGAGCTGGGGGTCGAGCACCCCCCGGCACATTGGAAAGTCGGCGCCTGTGTCCATATAGTTGCTGTTGGTGCATGGGATGAGGTATACCACATGTTGTGATAGGACCCAGGGATCCTGGAAGCTTGTGTCTCTCAAACAAAAGTTGGTCCAATAAAGGATATTACCTCACCCACCTTGTCTATACAACATTAATTATCCATCTGCTAAATATAGTCCAGAAATTCTTATTCTGGTAAATCTCCTCCCACTTACTTCAGGGACTGAATAAGAACTACAGGATTTGGCCCTATCCGTTTAGATTTTTATAACAACTTTTTTTTTCTCTTTTCAGGGGTGTGTGAATATCTTGCTTTTGTCTTCTGTGGGGGAGCTCCTACGGTAAGGACTTTACATTGTAGATGTAATTTTAAAAACTGACAGAACTTCCCCCCCAGTCAGAGGTTTCTGCGCGCCCTGTTGAGTAGGTTGCCCGGTGCTAGGGCAGGGTGCCTCTCCCTGACTCTGGCCCCAGGCAAGGATCAGGGCACTCTGAGTGCCATCCAGCCACTCTTCCAAATCATGCAGTGTTAACTTTGTTGACATTTAACTCAGATACCCAGTGATGAGGATGAACTATTTAATTCCTCATGGAGGAGAGGAAGAGTCACAGACTGCACAATTTACTGTGAGTGACATCTCATTTTGCTGCCATAAGTGGGTGGCATTTAGGAGATGGCACTAATTATTTTTTGCCCAGAGTCATAAGGGAGCCAGGACCCAGGAGCCCAGTAGAGCCCATGGGCACATTCAAGCCATACTAAGGAGGAGCTCAGAAAGCCACAAGATCTACTCCAAGCAGTGTTTCATTTTGGCAAGTCACATGGGCAGGGCTTGGAAGAGTATGGCTGCCTTTTTCCCTCCCCCAGTAAGACCCCTGCCCACTAGTGACTCCCAGCAAGTGGTCTGCCCTCCCCAATCCGCCAGGCCTCCCTGGATCCTTGCTAATATAGACTGTGGCGGGATGGTCACCCCGCCATGCCTCGAAGGGCTTAAAACAGCCTAAGAGACGGCTGTAGCCGGAGGAAAGCTACGCTGATTGGCGGAAGTAGCCACAGGTGGGGCCACGCCCCAGTCAGGCCACAGCTGGCCCTATAAGAGGGCTGTTAGCCAGGAGCAGAGACAGCCACTTTCTCTAGCTACATGGAGAGAGAGGGACCTGGCTGCTTGGGAAGCTGAAGAGGGTACCTAAGGCAGAGCAGTGCTGGGGAAGGGCAGAGGGAGCTGGGGAGCTCCAGCCTAGCGGAGCTGCAAGCCGAGGTAAAGGCCCACAAAAGAGTAGTAAAGCTGCAGAGGAGCAGCCCAGACCTAAACAGCAGCAGCTGGTCTGATTCCCCCCCTTGCCAATGATGAGTGGTACAGACTGCAGTCTGCCCCAGGGAGTGGGGGCTAGACGATGACTGAGAGTAGCCACTGAGGCAAGGGAGGGATTGGGGGTTCCCTGGGAGGGGAGACCCAGACTGAGGGGGTATTGCCAGGGGGCAGAACCCTTATCTAGAAAGGCACCAAGGTCTGGGAGGGGCATGGGGCCAGTTGCAGGCAAGACACTGACTGGCAGAGGGCACTCCTGGCTGAAAAGAGCTAATTCCCTGGACAACCAGCAGGAGGCGCCACAGCGGTGAGTCGTTGCCCTGTCACATAGACCCAGGCAGATCCCTTGCTGGCTTCTCCAGCAGCTACTCTTCTTTCCTCAGCAGGGTGTCTGCTGGAGCAGCCTACAATCAGAAATTGCTGGGGCAACTTTTCAGTATCCCAAAAGGCAAGATAAATAGCTACAATCTTTTAAAATAACAACCTTGGGTTGGGAGTTTAATGCCAGAGAAATAGTCCAGATTTTAGGAGTGTGAGGAAATATTTGCTTCCTAGCACTTAAGGATGATGGCTGCTGTCTCTCTTCTCTTCTTTGTCCCTGGATTTTTCAGAACGTGGAAGAAACTGCCAAAAGCTGAAAACCTGCCTAGTGTTAGCATTGAGAATGCTGTTCTTTCTCCAAATGTGACTTACATTCGTTGGAAAGTGCATGGAGACTGGGTTACACAGGTAAAAGAACCAAAATCTTTCTCACTCCAAAATAAATAAAATAGAAAGTTTTCCACAAATGAAATTGTCATGGGAATAGGTAAATAAGGTTTCAGCCACAGCATCTAGTCAGTCTACAGAAAAAAACTCTTATTTGTCAATTAGAATAGCACTGTCAGCAGTATGATAGGAAGAACAGGAAAATGGCACAAACTGTCAAACTTGATAGAATTAGGGCTTGACAATAGAGAATAAGGCATGAAATTCAGATTGAAAGTTGTGAAGCCCAAATTCAACACCTGTTTAGTTTTCAGTTGGACTTCAGTAGTGCTAGCTTTTAAAGTTAGGCAAGTGCATAAACTCCTTGCTGGGGCCTGAATAAGGAGAGATCTGAGTTTGGGATTATTGCACCCCCAGGATCCAAAGTCAGAAGCTAAAGGAGAGTGGGCATGGAACTAAAGAAATTCTCTCGATCTCTTCTAGCCCTGACTGCAAGGTGTACAAACTTTGAAGTTGTCGCTGCCCCTGGACTGACTGTTGCCCATTCTTGACCTTTCAACAGTGTCATTTTGGGGGATAAAAAGGAAGTATTTGATAGCTCTCTGAAGCTATTCTGAGTTTTGGAATGTTAAATATAGTCTTAGTGGCATATTTATACATTGTCTCACTAGCTGATCTGATGAGATAAATAGAGCCCTGCAAATCTGTGGATATCCGCTTTTTATCCATGGACCATCTTTGCAGATTGTGAACTGGATGTGGATACAAATTTTGTATCTGCTCAGGGCACTAGAGAGAAAATGTATTTATTATAGCACCATACATTTTTTTTTAAAGCTATGCCGTCATATCTAGAAAGAATTTTAGCCCCATTGCACAGACCAAGCAACTGGGTCACTATTGCAGCCTTAGCACTGGAGTAACCTCTGCACAGCTTTACACCCCTTTCATATCTAGAGTAATGGCTTCCTCTTCCCCCAGCCCCAGTGTGCTCGTCATTGGATAAGTGTGGCTCAGACATCAGGTTCCCAAATCCTGAACCCTTGTGCAGCAGCACCACATTGGGCTAGATCCTGGAGGACCCTCCTTGACCTTGGAGGAAGGGTCAAGACTTGTTCTAAAATCAGCTTTATGGGTCGTGTTTTACGTTCTTGAAGGCCGATAACCAGTCTGGGGGTTACATGCCGTGGTACATGATGGGAGCTGAGTATTTTTTTTACTTTTCTAATGCTGCTGTTGCTGCTTTCTGCAAGCAGTGGGGGCCCCACCAAGCCGACTGTAGCTCAGATGAAGTAGCAGATTGTTTTCCATGTTCTGGTCCATCAGGGAAGAAGTAGGGAAGCCTCTGACTTCCGCAGAGAGTCCTGAAATGGAACTTAGAATCTGTATGTCATGCTTTTGGATACACAAAGGAGTGAGGTACACACATTTTGCCCTTTTTACGTGAGAAAAACAGCAGGAATGTGCTGGAATAAGAGCCACTGTAATGCACCCACTCAACCCACCCTTAGGCAAACAACTTTAAATGTTCTTATTATTCATCCTGCCTTCAGAAAGAAAAACATTATAAGAACAGAAACAAATGAAATAATCCCAGCAGATTATATTCTCTTCTAATCTGTATTGTGTATCATTCATATATAACAGTAATCTCTTGTTCTGTTCCTTTTAGCTGCACTACTATGATTCCATTAAAGCAGTGATTTCTACCTCCAACCATGAACCTACAGCTTTAGTAATAGGTAACCATTTTACTCCTATTAAGGCCTCTAGGAATTTCTTTCAATTTAATGTTTCTCTGATTTACACTCCGTTCCATCTCCATGTCTGCAATCTTACTTTGCTGTCACCTAGTTGGCTTTATTTCTAGTAGTGCCACTGTGTGTAAGATTGTAATTGGTAATGGGAGAATCTCAAAGGGTTTTTCAGTCTTCTGATTTAGTTCAGCTAAACATCCTATCATTAGGAGGCTAGAATGACCTTCCACAAGGGCATATTGTGTCCTCAGAGCCAGCTGAGTCAGAAGTAAGGGCAATTTTTAAATGCCATCTGGGGCTGCATAGGAGACACACCAATCAGTGCATGTCCCAGCTGGCTTGGGCCCAATCCCTTTCCCTCACCAGCCCCACTCAGTTTGGGAGATGAACCAGCTGGCCATGGGCCTTCTGGCAGAAGGCAAGTCACAAGCCGCTTTCACTGCTGTATCCCTGCTCCCATGGATTTACAGTACCTCTGACAAGGGCCTGCATCAAGCCCAGTATGTTTGTCCAAACTATCTATTCTCTTGTTTCCATCACAATTATGTGGCTATTAGTGGAAACCTTACAAGAACAGGCTTTCTCCTGAGACTGCCAACTCTTTCATTCCTGTTCCAGGTGGATATACCATAAGACTAGCGTTTGCATGGTGTTTTACACACACTAATGTAGTGAGTAAAAACCTCCTTTTATCTACTGTATAAAAGCCAGTTGCTTGGGACAGGTTTACTACCCATCTCCTATTTCTCTGAAATATTTTCTAGTCCTTCTGATATTTTTATCATTGCTCGTTCAAGAACATTGCTCAACAGATAATTTGTACCCTCTGTGTGCAGGCTGTCACACTGTCTGGAGTGGCTCACGGCCATGAGTACCTACCTCAGGGCAGACTGTCAAAAGCAGGGCAGACACCCCAAACTGGTGGTATGTTCTATAATTAGATTTCACCAACCCAGTAACAAACATGAACTCCTGGATCACTGTAACTGTCTTACCATGGAGTCACAGACAGTCCCCTCAGACTCTCCAGTCTATCGTGTCACCCAGACAAGCTGGACTTAGTGATAAATGATACCAAAAATCACACAATATTCTGATTGCTTCCTGTCCTGAGAAACCAGTCACTTATGCCAGATCAGTTGGTACCCTAGATCTTACACCAAGGCCTGTAGCCAATCCTGTAATAAACTATATACAAGTTTAAACAGGAAAAATATATTTACAAGTTAAAACAAGCAAACATATGCACACAAATGAGTTATCATCTATGATTCTGAAACATGACAGAGATGTGGTAATATGTCAATTCAAAGTGTAACCTTTTTATTTTATTTAAAGTGAATTGAGTGATGCTGTATTATACCACCATGCATTCGGCACAGGTTGCTACAGTTTCAAACTCAACAGAGTGAAATTGCCTCTGATGCTTTTCTCAAATTTGGAGGCTCTAGAAACACATGGAGTCCAAGGATAATGACCACAGACACAGTCACAAGTACAACGTCTTATCTGTGCTACAAGTTTTATTAAAGCAATAAATAAAGTTACAATTACCCATGCATAGAAATCCTACATAAACCTATGCAATAATTATGGCTGTGGTCATACTCACATCCTCAGAGATATTCTAAGGTCCGAAGGACCTCTCAATAGATGATTGAGGAATAGTTCCTGTAGGGGTTTCCCGTGGGCTCATCCCTTAGATCTTCCCACTTTTACCCAACCCTGGGAACTCTCTTTTATATTGTAGTTCTGACCACACCTAACACTTTATGCACATGCATGAAGGTGTCAACCCTCTTTTCCTTATCTGTACTTCCACACCCCATGAATATTGGGGAGCTTGATTTTTCGCAGGTTTTTTGTAGTTCCTCTTATTCTCGTTAGCATCTATGCATGACATGTATCCTGTGGTCCAGACAGACATTTAAAGATGTTACAATCAGGTGTCTACTGCCTTGGACAATGCATTTCAGTCTATTGCAATCCATTTTTCTGTGACATCACTATTTGGCACATCTTTGGCAGTAATCCTGTGACTTTATGGGCACAGAGTTATTCCTAGGTCACTCATTCATGTCCAGCATTCTTAAACCTATGTCCTAGTGTGGCTAAGCTAAAGTCTTACAGGTCTCAGCCTGTAGGCCTTGTGTTCCAGCCATGCTTTACTTATACACCCACTACACACTTATCACACCTACATACTTATCAGTCCTATAATTCTATAATCCTACAATTTAAATCTGTTTATCATACATTAATTCTATATGAAATAGCATATAAATTGACCATAACATCACACAATACAAGGATAAATGGATGATAAAATGAACTAATTAGCTACAAAAGTGTCTTTCAGGGCAGACCCCCTGCTAACTCCTGGGGATCTCTGCCTCACTTTAGAGTCTCTGGCCCTGTGAGTGCTCAAATAGCAGAGAGGACAAATTTTCTTATGCCCTGTTTTATCTTTTACATTTGGCTTTCCAGTCCATGCGAAAAGCTCCCTTGCACATAGCATTTCCAAGGTTTGATAGGGCCATTCACCAATCCCTTGTATTGTCATGTTTCTTAATGGCTCATTCCTGTGCCTGGGCTCACAAGTTCAGAGCAAACATTTTTAAAGTTAAAAAGCAAAACTTATACAATTCCTTATAGTATGGTATACAGGCATTACAGGTGAGATTAATGCGTGCAGCAATTTACAAGCATTTCATAGAGTCTAAACACTAAATACATTCTTATAAGACTAATACCTATTTTGAACAAAACTAATATACTGTTGAGCTGTTTTGGTTTTCAGCTATGAGTTTGTCGGTTCTTAGGGCCTTGGCCAAAGCTGGCACTTGGTTTACCATTATCATGCAGGTTGTGAAGAACAATCTTATTTTACACAAGTTATACAGGAGAGTCTTGTTATGATGCAGAGTCCGCAGATTCATAGATTTGATTATTTTTTTTTTGAAGCCAGAAGGGACCATTAGATCATCTAGTCTGACCTGCTGTATATCACAGGCCATTATATCCATTACTCATGTATTTAGCCCAATAAACAAAAGCAGGCTGTTTTACACAACGTAAAAGCAATTAATATAAAAATGTGTCTTTTGTTTGATGTTTTGGTATTTGAGTTGTGGCAACCAAAGAAGTTCCAAACTCTGCTGGAGAGGTGTTTCTTCAGGTTTGGGGAGTGGAACCAGCTTGGAACTATGTTCTTGTTTGTTCATGTTATGCTTTACATCATAGACTTGGTCTTGGGAGGGAGTGTGTGGTTCCTCTTAGGGCACTGAACTGCAAATGTGTAGGATGGAAACTGTCCATCAGTCAGGATGATAGCCATAGAAATAGATGACCCAGAAGTCATTTTGTATTTTTCAGCTATGTCTGGGAACCCTGAGAGCAAACGACAGATGTTCATGGTTATGGAATGAGTTAATAAAAAGATGTCCAAGCCAAGTGCTAACTGACAACAGTATGATTGTCATATTTCTTTGTCTCGGGGCTTATGGGTTTTTTCCTCCCCCATTTATGTTGCCTCACCTCAGTCAGTCCTTAAATAACCAATGCATGTGAAAAAGATTTGTACCTGGTTCACTTAAAAATTCAGATAATCTAATTTCTTCACATTGGGCCCATAGGCGTAGGCAGTTCTGAGCACCCACAAATCTCATTGGGTAGGCAATGGGAGATGTGAGTGTTCACCTCTCAAGAGCCCTGATTCAGCAAAGCAGGTAAGCACATGCAGAATTAGGACCAGAGTTAGGTTCCTCCAATCTGTTCCTACTCCTAGAAAAGTCAATAGCAGTACTCCCATTGACTTCAGGGGATATAGGAGCAGGCTCTTTTATTCAGTGCAAATAACTGAATGAAATGACTTCAATATACAAAGCAGTATTCATATACCACAAAGATACAGCAAGTTTCTCCTTTATTTAAGCATCACAGAAAGCTGAAAATAGTGCTGAAAATAGTCCAAATTAATTCATGGTCCATACTTCCCTTAATTTTTCATCTTAAAATATCCAGTACTGTTACCTGGAACTCCACATATGATGAAATCAAATGAAAGTCCTTACATCTATTTCAGTTTCTTAAGCGTCTCATTTGCTCTAGCCAAATGAGTAAAACATACTAAAACTACTCCCTTAAGCAAGCTTATAAAACCCCTACCTAATCTACCTAGCCCATGTAGATTTCAATTATTCCATTCTTTGCTTGTTGAGATCCCTTTCACACTTACTCCTAAGAGACTTGGAGGACAGGTTGACAAATATTTAGAATTGGTTTAGTGCATTGGGGGAGGGATAGCTCAGGGGTTGGAGCATTGGCCTGCTAAACCCAGGGTTGTGAGCTCGATCCTTGAGGGGGCCATTTAGGGATCTGGGGCAAAAATTGGGGATTGGTCCTGCTTTGAGCAGGGGGTTAGACTAGATGACCTCCTGAGGTCCCTGGTATTCTATGATTCAATGCACAGTCAACCTGTAGAACTCTTTGCTAGAGGATGTTGTGAAGGCCAAGACTATAACACAGTTCAAAAAAGAACTAGATACATTCATGGAGGATAGGCCTATCAATGGCTATTAGCCAGGATGGGCAGGGATGGTGTTCCTAGCCTCTGTTTGCCAAAAGCAGGGAATGGGTGACAAGAGATGGATCGCTTGATGATTACCTGTTCTGTTCATTCCCTCTGGGGCACCTGCCATTGGCCGCTATTGGAAGACAGGATACTGGGCTAGATGGACATTTGGTCTGACCCAGTATGGCTGTTCTTATGTTATTTCAGAGCAGTTTCTTGCTGGTTTTGGTGAAGCTTTATTTCAGTCGCAGTTATACTTTTTTTGACCACCTAATTTATAGTAATGTAATAACACTTCCATCCAGTGACCTCAGTGCATAGTAAAGTATTAATGAACAACACTGCTGTGAGTCAGACAAGTATTCTTACCCACAGTTTGCAAAGAGGTAAATGAAGTACAGAATGGTTAATGGCCCATCTACAGAACAATATTCATGAATGTTAATTTCAGACAAAAAATACCCCAGCAGTCTGACTTCACCAGATGGTGGACACACACAATCTGAAGTCAAACTGACACAGTGACAACAACAGCTCCCATAATTCATAAACACAAAGTTCTTTTAAATCCCATCAAGATCTTATTTTCTAAGGAGTAGCTCACAACTGGAAAATGTTCCTAGTTTAGTGTGAGAGAATTAATAATAGATCACTAATCTGTTCTGGAAGCACTGAAACCCCCTAGGTTAGAATCTTCTCAGCAGCAACATTTTGTGGTGGACTCTGAATTTCCAGCTTTTTATTTAAAAGCTTTTTGCTTTGTGTGTGTACGTTTTCCAGATCCCCTCGTTTTAGATCTTGGAGGTGGAGGGGGGAGTTGAATGCCATTGTTTGTGGCATCCTTTGCCCCTTAATGTGGGCTTTTTTACTCCCCCTCATACTGGGATTAAGCATCAGAATTAGTCTTGGGAAAGCAATAGTGATATAGAAATGAGGCTTCAGAGACTTGTTTGCTTCTTCTTTGTATCTTGTTTCCTGCCTCTCCTTCCTGGCACTTTTCTTTGTTTTATTTTGCCTGAAATTAGAAGCAGCAGCAGCAAATGTCTGTTGTAGACATTGGTGCAGACTCTGTGCCTTGATGAAATGATGAGCAGCATGTTCAACATGGTGTTCAGTTTTGAACCTCTCTTTGCCAGAACAATGTTAACAAACTGTAAGAAGTTCCAGAAAGTGAAGCTGGAAGGATTTTCTCATCAGGAAAGATCAAAATAGCTAAGTGCTGACTAATGGGAAACATGGTCAACTAAAGGGTTCTGAAAATAGTAAACCCCAGTGGGATTGGGAGGAGGGATTTTTTTACCATAATAAAAAGGTTATAATAAATAGGACTAATGGCATGCAATGAAGAAAGAAAATTATAAAAATTTATAAAATGACTATTGGGAGAAATTTCCTGAGGATGAAAGTTATTAGTACCTAATCTGCAGGAGGTAGTGGGAACCAAGATGTCTAGGATATTTTCAAATTTATCAGCTGTTTCGGTGAGTATGTTCTTTTTCAGGGTGTACTGTTGGCGCTACTAATGTTGAGCAGCAGATGAAAAAAATAAAGGACCGTGGGAAAGATTCAAAAGCAAGAAAAGGGCAGGTGATACCTAGAATCCCTCCAAAGAGAGCTGAGGGAGATCAGACTGTGTTTCAAGTCTACAAAGGAGTAAAAACATTTGCATTCTGTAAAAAAAACAACCTCATAGTGACAGGCGGAATGGATCGAATCATTCGGATGTGGAACCCTTACATGTCTGGGTAAGAGATGGTTACAATACTCACTGAAAGACTCTGTTATGAAGGGCTTTGTAACTACACATTACTGATGAGTAATTCTTACTGTCTAGTGAATTGCCCTGTTAATAGGCATCAGCTAAGTGCATTGAGGAGACAATCACAAATGTCCTGGAAATATGCGTGAGTTTACAGAATGGCTCTGCTGCACTGTTGATAATATCAGCACGCACACACGCATGCAGCAAAATCATTCCCATAAGTTTAAATATTTTATATAAATATAAAAATTCATGGATTATCCTCTGTTTTTTATCCAAGATTGATTTGAGATTTTGCTTGTGCCTAAGACCCCAGTCCTGCGATGATCTCTGCCCACATGGATCTCATTGTATAATTGAGGTCTAGGAATCCATTTGGCGCATTAACATCTTATGAAAAGCTGAACTCTGCAAGCAGATACTATTGTTTCATGTACATCACTCCAAGTGCCTGATACTGGAAAACTGCTCTGTTTATGTGTGGGTTTTGTTTTTTTTTTTGGTGAGAAAACCCAAAATACAATTCCCACCAAACATACAACTAGTAGCAGATTCCAGCCCATTTATTTTTACTTTGTTTTATAAAAAACGATCAATTTGAAACCGCTTAATATTGAACTGTTCTTATTAAATTTCAGCCGACCAACAGGCATGCTCAGAAGCCACACAGCGCCAGTCTGTTACCTCTCCATAGCTGCAGAAGATGCGAAAATATTTTCCATATCCACAGACAACACTATTAAGGTCTCATTGTGTATAGCAAGTGTCTGATATCCTACCCCAGTTCTCTTTTTTGTTTTCGTGGAAATAAATATAAATAATGTTCAATCTAATAAACATGAACACATACATAATAGTACAGTATAGAAATGTAGGGCCTGATCTGATTCTCACTGAAGTCAATAGAAAAGACTCCAACTGAAATTGAAGTTGGATCTGGCCCTTAGACAGATCAATGTAGAGAGCAATTCCAGCAAGTACTCCTATGAGTCAATAGTCTCTTAGGTTTTCAGTTCAGTTGTATTAAATGCATTTGTTGCTAAATGTTTCACAAATTATGATAAAACTTTTAACAAGGATCTAGTACTCTCAAGTTTTTAAAGTGTTGTTCTACTTTAGAAAGTGACTTTGTGTTTTGTTTTTTAATTTAGGGATCTTGCTTCTATGGTATTTTCTCTAGGATAGAAAAGGAGTACTTGTGGCACCTTAGAGACTAACCAATTTATTTGAGCATAAGCTTTCGTGAGCTACAGCTCACTTCATCGGATGGGAAATAACAATAAATTGGTTAGTCTCTAAGGTGCCACAAGTACTCCTTTTCTTTTTGCAAATACAGACTAACACGGTTGTTACTCTGAAACCTGTCTCTAGGATAGGTATTTCTGTTTCTTCCTTTGCTGAAATCTCCCTAACCAGGCATATATTACATGCGTGTATTACACAAAAAAACAACCACCATACATTAAAATAATATGATGAAAGTTGGAAATGCTGGAATTAAGGTTTTCTCATGCAACCTGAATTTGGGCTCTCCTGCACAGGCAGACTAGTTTAAATACACATACTATTTTTCCCACAATTCTTTTGTCTCATTCAGTGCACAGAATGGATAGTGCTCACTTAATGAGAAGCTATCAAATATTCTGCTTTCTTCTTGTTCAACCCAGGGCCTCATTAATTCTGGCATTTTCCTAACTTTTGAGTGCTTGACTTTGCAACCTTGTAATGTGGATTTTTGTGTGTAATTTCTTAGGTTTTCAAAAAGCTAACTGAAAAAAACCTGAAACTCTGTCACATGAAATCATACTGACATTTGCATGGGTCATCAGCAGGGGTGGAACTTGATCCACCGCACAGACCTCTACCATTTGAGCTAACAGGACAACTGGTAGCAGTAGTAGGTTGTCATCATCTGTGTAGACAAGCACTACAGGAGAATGGGACACTTTCCCAGTGTGTGACCGACTCAGGGATCTTGGGCTCCATTCAAGCTTTGACGGGGAGTGTGCTCTAGTGATACAGACTCTTCTGTGCATTCCCCTGAAGTGTGACCCCGTCTGCCCCATTCCCTTCAATTTATCCCTGTCCCAGTCCTGTCTGTTCCATACCCCAGGCTTCTCATCCCTTTCCAAGTCCCATTCTCCTGGCATAGCCAGTCCCAGTCTCCACTCCTCAGATTTCTCATCCCACCCCCAGTCTTCTTGCCTAGCAAGTCCTACTCTCACTCCTCTGCACTACCTGCCACCATCTTCCCCGTGGCCCCAGCGACATTTCATCCCCAGTCTCCTTGACAAGCCAGTCCCCTACTCCTGGATCTCTCCAGTTCCAGTTTTTATACGTCCCAGCTCCTTGTCACATTCTACTTCTCCCAAGCCCCAATAGGTTAATCTTTTGTCCCCTCTGTATTTGAATCAGGCAGCTTCCTCTTAGAATCATAGAATCATAGAATATAAGGGTTGGAAGGGACCCCAGAAGGTCATCTAGTCCAACCCCCTGCTCAAAGCAGGACCAATTCCCAGTTAAAGCAGGACCAATTCCCAGTTAAAATTCTTCCATGCTGCCTGGGCCCAGCAGGGTGTCACGGTCTCCCTGCTCTAAGTCTAGGTGCTCAGACCCAGCAGGGCCCACAGCAGCCAAGAGCTGCAGTTGCAGGGAAAGTCTTGCTTAGCCCTGGGCTAGAGCATGCCCAGGGTGGGTGGAATCTTCAGGGAGATTAGCTGCTAAAATTAATCTCTGTTTAGCATGTGTGAACTGTGATTTCTTTTTTTTAAAAAGAAGGCTTATAACTTTGCCAAATTTGGCAGACTTTCACAGGGATGGCAAAAAGCACATCCCTGACACAAAAGCCCAGCCCCTTGCTAAATCTAAAGAATACCTTCTCCAAAGTATGGAGGAGCTAGAGCTTTCCAAAGACAAGTTTGATAGATTTTTTTTAACATGAGTAAAGCACATTTTTTCTTACCCTTGTTCTCAGAAACTGCTGAACCATTTTGGCTGAAATTTTCCAAAAGTATTTAGCTTAATGCAGACACTCAGCATGGAAAACTTCAGCTCAAGTGGTTAAAATTTGCTAAAATAAGTCACTGAAAACAGGGTCTTATAATGGAAAGGGTTGAGCAACCTTAATAATAGGCAGTTCTACCAACTCTGTCTATAGTAATAATATTAGCTTTTGCACTTCTTCCAGTGTATGACTTCAATATTAAGTTTATGTTTCTGACTGCTATATTAGCAAGCACTATTATATTATTATTTTTAATTACCTATTTAATCTCCAGTGGCATGTCTTTAGAACTCTACTCCACACTTTATAATCACAGACATCTTCTGGTGTTTGTGTGGGTCTTTTGTGTTTCCAGAGGATTCCACTGTTTTTCTCCAAGTTTGTACCTCATTTGAACCACGTATGTGTACAACCATTGTGAGCACCTTTTCTGTTTGATTAACTTATTAATTGCCCCTAATTTAAAATTTTATTCAGAATTTGTAAAAACACGATGCAGGGGTTGACTTGTTTTATAAATGTAAATTATTGTTCATCATTTTCCATTATACCATATGTGCCAAATTCATCCTTAGTGTGTATCCACTGAAGTCAGTAAACATACACCGAAGATTAATTTAGATATAGGGCTAAATTAATCTCTGGTATATTTCCCTGACTTCACTGGGTATATACTAAGGATGAATTACGCATACTTGGTATGAAGGAAAATCACAAACAGTAGCCTATAGTTATATAGTACCTTTCATCTCAGAGCACTTTCACCAAGTATGGGCTAGAGTCAGTGGAAAGACTCTCAGGATTAGACCTATAAAGCTACTTAGGTGCCTAAATCCAACACTTAGGTGCCACTGACATTTTCAAAACCACCACTCAGCTGCTGCCTAACCCTGCAGGTGCCTAAAGTCCACTAGCTGTCTAAGTTTCGACCAGTGGGTATGCACAAAAAGGGGCCTGAGTCCTGATGCTGCACCACAGCTGTTGTACCAATAAATAAAAACCAGCAGGATCTTATTAAAGGGAAAAAGGCAAAATACCACATTTATTGTGAATACAGAAAGAATCATAGTAAGCAGTTAGTTATAGCTATAACATTCCATTCAATCTCATATTTATTCACACATTCATTCATACAAACACACACACACACACACACAGGTTCTGCAAGGTTGTTATCATAGTTACCAGCCTTAGAGTTGCTCATGCCAAGCCACTGGCCAGGTGGCCTGGACATGAGGAGGGAGCAGGGCCTTGTCAGATGCTCATCTGATGCTCCTGGAAGTTGGTTTGCAGAATCAGACCCCAAAGTTCTCACTTTTTAGAGTCTATTTTTATAGGAATTTCTTCCTATGCCAGTCTATGGGAATTGCTTCATCATGCTGTTGCTGAATCAATCAGCAGATAGCACATTCCTGACGGCTCCAAGATGTTATCTTGTTCTTTGGTTCTCCCATTCTTGAGGCTGTTGGGTGGATTCCAGTCTGCCCTCCGGGGGGGTCCTCTGGTTATTTCCACTTGACGCCTTCTTCAGCCGATGGACACTGGATTCTTAGGCTGGCACCTCCCTGATCATTCAGTTATTATCTACACCAAGCATCCATTCACATACATCCTCTATCTCTATTTTAATCACAATTGTTAATACAACAAAAGGGTGGGGAGTCTCTGGGTGTTGTTTCCGTTGTTAGAGTATTGCTTTGAGTCTCTCTCTCTGTGAATTGCTTTGAGAACAGACTCTGTCTTAGAATGTACTAACACAATTAGCAGCTTGCAAGTTTCACACATAGGGGGAGAGAAACAGTACCAAAAACCAAGAGACCTCTTAATTAGTAATACCCTGGAATTTAAACTCTGGGGAATCAAACTCATTTGTGATTTTAATACAGAACTTCTTTAATATGATCGAGCTAACTAGCTGCTTAGAGCCCTTGTTTGTGCCTAAGCCCAGTGGGATTCTTAGACTAGCATGTGCGTGTTGTATATAATACCCAATAGTCTTGTGGTTTGGGCACTCACCTAGGAGGTAGGTGACCTGAGTTCATGTCCCTGCTCTACCTGATTCACATTATAGACTTGAACCTGGGTTTTACGTATTCCAAGGGAATAACATAACCACCAGGCTATGGGGTATCCTGGCATTGGTCTCTCTCAATCGCCCCTCTTGAAGCAGCTCCACTTTGTATAGCTAATTAATTATTCACTGGAGCAGAGACTTGAACCTGAGTCTCCTACATCTCAGGTGAGTGCCCTTGCCTCTGGTCTATAGAGTCAATCTCTCTGGCCCTGTGAGTATGTATGTATGTATGTATGTATTTATACAAAGAGGAACGGCTCCAACAGGAGAGATGGAGAGACCTACCCCAGGATAATCTATCTTGTGGTAGCTGTTCCCTTCTGTGGAAAAGTAACACAGCATTTTTAGGGTAAGTAATTTGTTGCTTACTTCCCTTCTCTGATTCTAAAATACCCAGAGACCCTGGTCTAGCAGCGTTGTGTTGGGGGTACTGTTGGTCAGGGTCTAACCTTCCAGTGTATGTGCCATGCATAAATACTTGACCTGGGTGGGAAGGGAAGCATAGCAGTGTAATTTTAGAATTGCATGAGGACGAGTGTCTGACAATCGAGTACAACCCTACTAATTTTTGTTCTGTTTGTGTAACATCTTTTCCTGCAGATCTGGGATACTGTGGACCAGACCTGTTTATTTACAGCCTGTTCAAAAACCAGTGGAATTAAGGGAGAGCTCACTGCTTGCCACTACATCCCAGGCATCAGATTGCTTTGTGTTGCTGCGGATACACTTGCTCTTCTTCATCTAAGATTAAGGTACATGGCAAGCTCATTTGAGTTTGAGGGGTTTTGAGCCTCTTCAGCTGTTGTTCAAAAGTTCAACAGGTGGGAGGTTTGTGCGTGTGGGAAACCTAGAGCATATGAAATATAATTGGAGAAGTTTGCCCTCTGTGGGAACAGGATAGCGTAGATCCCTGTCCCCTCCTTTCTTATCTACCCTCAGGCTTTCACTATAACAGCTGCTGGTGCAGTGGGACTGGTAGCTGCAAATAATTCCCACCTGTGCTAAGATTCCCTAGAGTTTGGTCTAATAGATGCAGGCAGACTAATAATGGGATGGGTGTGGAGACCAAAGGCCTCCCTCTTTCTTCCCACTGCTATCAGTATCTTTAAATTAAATTCACAGCATCGCTTTTCCCCTTTTGGAAGATGTACTGAGGAAATAGCATAGAAATGCTTAATGCTGTTGTACTTTCTCCAATTCTTGTAGAGTCTGGTTGATATATGGTGCATTGCTTTGGTTTGTTTTTCCATGAGACAGGCCTCCTCCAGAGCCCCACTTGATCGTGTCTCATAAGGAGCCCGTTCTGTGCTGCAAATACAACAAAGAGTTCAGGCACGTGGTGAGCTGCTCAGAGGGATCTGTAAGTGAAAACTATACCACATAAAGGCAATGTAGTTGCTGACACGACTCCATGTGCCTGTCTAATCTATTGTATGTAATCTGTGCCTTTTTAACACACCCATCACTAGAGCTGGTCAGAGATTTTCCAGTGAAACAGCTCTGTCAGAAAATGCTAGTTCTTTAAACCCCAAATGTTTCATGAAAGCAAGTCAGGTTCGACAAACTTTCTGTGAATCAACCTGCCTGGTTCCCTGTCAGCTTGCCTTGTGGGCTGCTGCAGGGCTATGCTACGTGGACTGCCCAGGGCCAGAAACTCCAGGCTTCCAGGATCCATAGTTTTAGAGCCACCCTGTCATGCCAGGGCTTCCAGACTCCCTGCCATAGAGCCAGGAATCTGGAAGTCCTGGGAGACCTCGCTCTAGTCAGGACTCAGATTCTAGGTTCCGAGCTCCACAACAGGAAGGTTAGAAATCACAGGGCTTCTAGGCTCACTGGGCAAAGCTGGGACCTGAGAGGCCCTGGGACAGAAGTGGGGGAGCCAGCTGACCTCGGGTCCTGGGACACATGCTAGGGCTACCCTGGAGCCACAGACCTCAAAGTCTGGGCAGCTGCTGCCTGCAGTTGGCATTCTTGTCAATCTCACTGTTGCTGTTAACAGTAGTGAAACTCATCACAGCAGTGACACTGACCACAATGTCAGTTGCAGTCAGCAACTGCCATCCCAGAGAGCATATTTTGTTTTGGAAATGCAGGATGTCAGAATCAGGTTTCTTTCTTCTCCAGGATTTCTGGTACACAGGAAACGTCAAAAATTCTGGATTCTGGAAATTTGGAATTTAATCAAGTTTGAAAATGTTGCAATTTCTCATGAACCAGAAAGCCCAAGTTTCAAGCAGCTCTACCCAGTGTAGCTAATCGCCAATCTGTAAAATATTTTAAAGGCAATAAATCAAGTCATGTCATCTACAGTGACATCTTCAGAAGAACTTCACATATTTTTGAGAAGAGGCATATGTTACTTAGGGCTTGTCTTCACGTACAGTGCTGCAGCTGCACCACTGTAGCACTTGAGTGAAGATGTTACTATGCCAACAGGAGAGCTTCTCCCATCAGAGTAGTTAATCCACCTCACTGAGAGGCAATAGCTACACTAGGAGTTAGGTCACCCCAATATGCGTCTTTCTAGAGTCAGTATTTCTTTTTTCTCTCTCAAACACTGAGCCCGTGAGAGGCGTAAGTGCTTAGGTCGATGTAGTTAGGTCAACACAGTATCAGTGTAGCTTACATCGGCTGTTGCTGCCTTCCAGAAGCCATTCTACATTGCCCCACACGGACAGTTAATCAGTGCAAGTGCTCCTGGTGAGGATATGCACTGCCAACACAAGGAGCTTAGCGTGGACATGCAAAGGAGATTTAATTACTGCCTTTGCTGTACATTGACGTGACTTAGGTCGTCTTAATTTTGTCCTGAGTAAATCTGGATACTGATTAAAGAGATGGTAATCCAGGCAGTCACGTTGAGTAGTGCTATATAAATTTCTTCATGCATCCGTGCCAATCCAGGATAGGTAGATACTTGGCAGACATCACATTGGTATCTAGGCACCTTACAAGGATCATTTTGAGATACTGAAGATCTCAGTAAAGGAGATCAAATAATAGGCTCTCCTGCTGCCTGCAGCGACACCATTCAGCTAAAAAAAAAAAAAAAAAAAGCAGTTGGGAAAGGCTGGACTGAAGGGGGTAAAATGGAAAAATCCTGCTACTTTTCGGACTCCTTCAATCACTATTTGTTTGCTTGTCTTTTAAAAGGTGGTTAAAGTGTGGGATTTTGAAACAGGAAAGCATTTATTTGAGTTTAGTGGTGCTCATGGAGGTGCTGCAATCACCTGTTTGACCTTTGATGTCAGTGGAAGAAGGTATGTTTCTTTTTATGTCTATTTAAAGCTATATATATAATTGTTGGCACATGTGGGAAATATATTGAATTTTAATCCCATTTTAGGTTAATTACAGGAGGAAGAGATGGATGCTTGAAAATATGGAATTACAACAATGGACATTGTTTGAATACTTTGAAAAGGGGTAAACAGCATGTTTAAAAATATTTGAAAGACTGGAAAAATGTGATTTAAATTATTGAAAAGAATAAATGTTTGGTTTATTTTTCCCAACAGAAGACAAATGTGCTGAAGTCTGTGACTGCACCTACGTGGAGGTGAACAGAAGCAGGTCAGATCTTTCACAGCTTGGTGTGAAGCTTGTCCTAGGGCTAGGGAGTGATATGTATTGTGGGAATTTATACGGCAAGTGCTAGCTCTTTTCTGTAAAAAGTGATTACTGGAGCATTGGTCACACCTGTGCCACAAAAAGAACTGCAACCTCTGAAAAAATAAACATAGTGCAAATAAATAGACTTGTACAGCTATACAAAGCAGGTTACATTATTTGATGAATGCCTATAGGGCCTTTAATGGAGCACTGGCCTGTAAGTATGGGGGCAGCCTGGCCATCTGTTGATGGGGCATGGCACAGGGGTTGCTGAGAGTTGTAGTCACCAGACAAAGCCCATGAGGAAAGGGGTCAGCGGACTAAGCAGTATGTGACTGTATGCTGGAGACTACATAATGGAATGCCCCTGATTCAGTCTGGAGAAGATAAGGGTTGACCTAAGACCCTGAGAGAAGTCCCTTCATGGGAACCTGGCAGGAGGCCTAGCAAAGATAGCCAGGAAAGGCAGCTCAAGGCGAAGGTTGTGTCCTGTCTCTTCCCAGCTTGCTGAAAGCTTCAAAGGCCTCTGGTGGTTGGGACCAAGTGTTTTGAGATACTTTGCTCTTGTTTTGAATCCTCTAGTGATGACAAAGCCAGCCCAGAAAAAAAGGGTATGACCCAAACTGCAGTTTTGGCTTTATTTTACCTTCCCTGGCTAGTGTATCTGCTTACTGGCTTACAGACCCCTAGTTCTCTGAGACAGATACTGTTGCTCCGCTACTCAGTACACAGTGCTCCCATGTTATCATTTGTATTACCGTAGCATATGGAAGCCAGGACCCCAGTTGTGTTAGCCACTGTAGAAACATAATGAAAAACACAATATTGTCCTAATAGGTGCTGTCATTCCATGAAGGCAGTTCTCAGTGGATTATTTCATTAATTTTGGCAAGTTGTTTGTAACTTTCCCATTTCCTTGATGTTTAAAACAGTAATATTTAAAAAACATCTCTCTTTAAAAAAAATAACTAGTATACAAAATCAAACAGAAGAATACTGAACACTTTATTAAATCTTCTCGTAGGTATATCATAGCTGTTGGATGGGATAGAAGAATAAACATGTATTTTGTAAGTGAAAAATATATATCTAAAATGACTTAGTATAAATATAAAATTATTATTATTTTAAAACAAACACTTAAAATTTGTGTTTATTGCTTCTCATTCAAAGTAAAAAGGGGAAAAAAATCTGTTTACAGTCACTGATGTATTAACCATTTCTGTTTTGGGCTAAGATTAAAAATGTTGTCCAACACTCAACCTCCTCTGTTTAAAGGTGGGATGTAAAACTTGATCTCACTCTCTGTAGGTTGCCTAAGGTTCTATGCCCAGTAAACAAACAAAATTTCAAGGACATGATCCTGCAGAGACACAATAATGTGGGTAACTTATTCCACTGAGGGTGAAGTCCTAGTCCCATTGACTTAGTGGCAAAACACCAGCTGACTTCACTGGGGTCAGGATTTCACCTTGAGACTAGTTCCATTTAATTCCACATGGCCACTCAGCACATAAAGTTGGGCACACATGTAAATCTTTGCAGGATCATGGCCTGGACATTTTGTCTATTTTCTGAATTCAGTACCTTAGGCAACCTGCAGGAGCAAGTAAATGCAAAATTACATTTGACAGTCATCAGTGAGCCATCCAGTTGCCCATCATCAAACACATGGCCAAATCAAAGAGCCTTTAGCAAGCAGTGCTGTTACATATACTGCTATTAATATGCAATGCATGTTTATTATAATAGTTAGCCAGATTTTAATTAAAAAATTGACTTAAATAGACATCGGAAACATGCTGTTCTCAAACCTTTTGGTTTGTTACCTATTGTTTCTAGCAATATGAAGGGCCTCATCTGCTCCCTTTTGTATCAGTGGGAATTACTTGCGTTTTAAAGCCATTTGGCCTTTGCACATGTGAGTTCAACTTCTTTTGAGCTGTACATACATACCTAGTAGGAGAACAAATCCCTGTTGGCTGAGAAAATGCTGAAAATACACCAACTTCTTCTCTTTTATCTATGTTGTTTGGAACAGGACTCTGCAGACGACCTTCATCACTTTCAGAAACCTCAGCCCTATTGGCATGATGACATAGTAAGAATCCATCTTGATTCTGTATTACAAATAAATTTCTTTTAAAAAAAAAAAAAGTCGGATGTGATTTGACACAAAGCTGGATAAATAATTGAACATAGGATTGAACACAGACAATTAGACTTTAGTAAAGAGCAATTTATTTGAATTCTTCCCAACATATAATTCTAGATAGATTATTTTCACACCTGAGTTTTGAGCAGACTAGAGAGGAACTAGGTAAGTGTCATACAGGTTGGAAAGGCGGAGGAAAAGGAGAGTAGTAGTTGAGGCATGAAATGATCGAGGTCTGAACAGGAGCTTTTTATGTTGGGAATGGAGAAGAATAGCTGATTTTGCAGAAGTTTTGGAATGAAAACCAGCAGAATTAGATGGCCACTTCAGTGTGAAAAGGAAAGAGGAGTAAAAAACTGACATCACGGTTGTGAGGCTAGGAGGATGGTGGGGCTGTGGATGTAATGGAGAGGGAGAGAAGATGATGATCCTGCAGGAAAGACGAGTTCATTTTTTGACTGGTCTAGTATCTTGAGGCTTCAGTGAGACATCCAGCAGGAGATGTCAGAGAGACAGACACAGTCTGAAATGAGGATGGGGGGAAATCTGTGAGTCACCAGCAGAGAGAGAGAGAAGGTGGTAATAATTAAAGTTGTGTGAGTTGTAATCCCTGATGGGATGGGAGGAGGAAAAGCATCTGCAAATAAGATGTATGGTCCAAAAGACACTAATCTCAGTTGTTTTAAATTTCTCACCTGATGCTACGTAGGAGATTGGGCTGGAGAGATGACATAGGTTCTTGTGTGTGAGCTGCAAGAGCCAGGGGAAGTCCGTGCCTGGGTGCCTGGGTCCCTTTCTCTTGCTGAACAAAGGGAAAGGAGCAGCCTGTGTTTCTCTGATGTCATCTTTTTTTCATTTAGAGCTGTGGCCACAAGGAGGATATTCTGTGTATTTCTCAGTGTCCACCTACTCTTCTTGCCACCTCCAGTTATGATGGTGAAATTATTGTTTGGAATATGATCTCAGGACACCTATACCGCAAACTTCACACGTCTTTTCCCACTCACTGTGCTGGCATAGAAGGTAAGTACTCACTAGGGAAACTATAGGGAAAACAATTCCTAAACACTTTCCAGCTTAATCCTTCATTGGAAATCTTTTCTGGAGAGATGTGGACCTTGCATGTTACAGCAAACTACTATTAGAAGGACACTTAATAAATTCAGTAGAGCAGGGAGACAGCAGGGTAGCTGTACATCAGATAAAATTATTGGAAGGTAGGGCAAAGGAGCACTGCCATACCATTGGTTTAGTTAAAGCTGTTATCTCTAACGTAATGAGCAAATCAAATAGTTTGTAGTAAATATCAAGGACAAAGGATGAAGCTGGTTATATATGTTTTCTTGGTATGTTTGAGAGGGTATATATACACATATACATGAATAATTATTTGTATTACAGTAGTGCCTGCCTAAAGGCTCCAAATGAGACACTGTGTTACATATGCTGTACACAGAGAGAGAGAGAGAGAGAGTCCCTCCCTTGAACAGCTTATATTCTAAATAAACAACCCAAAGGAAAGCTTATTATGCTCATTTTATAGCTGGGAAACTGAGGTACAGAGCGACTAAATGACTTGCCCAAGGTTAGGCAGGGAGTCTGTGGCAGACCAGAGAATTGAACCCAGACCTTCAGAGACCGTCTACTGCCTTAGCTGCAAGGCCATCTCTTTCTTTAAGCATTACAACTAAATGAACAATTGTCCTTTGGCTACGTGCTTAAAAGTATAATAGTATTTACAAGTTCCTTCTTCTGGAAATATTGGGCCAGGTCCTCAGACCATGCTCTGTCTCCTTAACTCTGCAGAGCAGCAAAGGGGATGGAAAGCTGCCCTAATAGGGTATCTGGAGATTCCCTTGGCATGGTGGAATTCCTGATTGGTGTAACTCAATGGTTCTCAAACTTCACTGCACTGTGACCCCCTTCTGACAACAAAAGTTATTACATGACCCCAGGAGAGTGGACCGAAGCCTGAGCTCGCCCAAGCCCCACCGCCCGAGGTGTGGGGGACAAGCCAAAATCCAAGGGTTTCAGCCCTAGGCAGGGGGCCTGTAACTTGAGCCTCACCACCCAGGGCTGAAGCCCCCTTGGGCTCTGGCTTGGGCCCCGAGCAATGGGGCTTGGGCTTTGACTTTAGCTCCGGACCCCAGCAAGTCTAAGCCAGCCCTGGAGATACCATTAAAACAGGGTCGCAACCCACTTTGGGGTCCCGACTCACAGTTTAAGAACCACTGGTATAACTCATATCTGGCCTTCCTCAGTGTAAGAGGTGCATTGGGAGGTATGGTGGGGCATGGTTACAGTGCCTTTCATTCCAATGGTCCTCAACGGCCTGTTGGCCCCTAGCAGGCTATTACCGGTCAGAATCAGTTGTCCTTTCAGCAGTTCCATGGGACCTGACTATGGAACTGGTGCTTAGGAGCAGCTCCACATCACTTTCTGCCCCAACTTGACTGTCCTTGGGATCAGTCAGGCTGGCAACAAGCTCCCCTGTGCTGGAGTTTGGGGCATATGTATCCTTTAATGCCATGGATAACAGGGTCAGAATTTGGCCCCAAATTGATATTCCAGTGCTTGGCCTGGCCTGTGGAAATGACCCAACTTCCCCATCCGGTTCAATCCTGTGTACATAAGAATGGTACAGAACCATTTTCTGTCATGGCTCTTTATCTAGGTTCTTGTACCATACACATCACTGGTGTCCTGCCTTAGCATGCTGCATGCTCTGCAATACTATACATTATCTTTCTAAGGTACACATATATTAATTAATACAGCAGTGATGAGGCACATTTCCAAATGCCTTCACTCTGAAGAAATGCAAATGGGCGGCTATACACCTACCGACGTTTTCTTATTGTGTACTAAAATTCTGAGCATTCCTGAAAGTAGAAAATATTTTGAAAAATTTTCCATAGTAATTATAAAGGAATTGCTGTTGAAGAAAAAAGGCATTCTTGCCAAAACCATAATTTGTACTTTCTTCCTTTCACCATCTCACCACTAGCATCCAGATATTTTATCTAAGGTTGCATTAAATGAAAAACTACTAACATAAGGAGGGGTGGAACTTTTTAGGTGTTAAAAGAAATCTATGTAACAATTGCTTTAATTTATCATAATTAAAAATTGCACAACATATTTTATTAATAAAATACTTATTATCATTTCATTTATTTGTATTGTGGTAGTACCTATGCACCCTCATCATGGACCAGGACTTCACTGTGCTAGCCATTGTACAAACACAGAACAAAAAGATGCTCCCTGCCTGAACCAAAGCATTTCCAGTCTATATAGATTTCACTCAGAGTACCCACACTCTCTGACAACAGACAGTGGCTGTCACTACACATGGTAAAATCTAGAGCTGGATACAGAACAGAAATTCCATTTCATGGAGGATTTTGAAATTTCTAAATTTTGTGTTCATTCTTAATTGGAACAAAACCTGAAAATTAAATCCTCCAGGAAAGAAAATTTTGATTAAAAAAATTCTCTTCAAATTTATCCAAACATTTTGTTTCAATGAAATCGAAACATTTTATTTCAGTTGACTTTTGACTTTATTATATTATAATTCTGTATTATATAATAAAATATTTTAAAATTCAAAATGGAAAATCATTTTAAAAGGAAAAATCAAAATATTTTGTTCAGAAAATGTAGAAATGTTTTTTTTAACTAATTTCCCCTTTTCTCTGTAATTTCATGAAAAATAACATGATTTTGCAAAGCGTTTTTATTTAAACTGAACTGTGTTTTTTCCCAAGGAAAACTGTTCTGTTGAAGTTTTCCCAACCAGCTTTAGTAAAAATCATCAGTGCTGATATATTTGTCATCAACACACAGAGAGGTTTAGTATGTCTCAAGCAAGTATAGACAATATATGGAGTTGTGCATTATGCCTACTTAGAGAGAGAGCAGTAGGAATTTAATTGTTATAATCTAAATATGGTGGAAAATAATACCCTGATCTCTGGAAAACCTGCAGTTACAATATAATTCTATTTTAACATTTTGGTTTTATCCTTCACTAGAGAGCAATTAAGTTGTGTTCAAGATTTAAGTAGGCTTAGAATGAACAAATCAATCTTGTTCTTCTTTTTCCTTCCCAAGCTGTAGACACAAGTATTACTCAACTCGTATTTCTGAGGACTCGCGCAGTGAAATTTGAATCAGCAGCAGCCTCTCTTATTTCCAATGGGCCTCAAGGTAGGAGTTAATAACTCTAGCGTTTATTACAATATGTTGCATTTCTAAGAAATAGGATTTTTTAAAAATGATTCATGCTACTAAATTGATTTTAAAAAATCCAGACGATTATGGTTTTTCCCGAAAAAGAGCATTAAACAATCCTTACCTTCTTTGGGACCATAACTAATTGCCGCCTTTAATCCAACTCAGTTCCCACAACACCTTGCACTCTGGAAACCAACTTCCAGCCAAGAAGAATTGAACAGCTTTCCCTTCAGAGACCGTCAACAGCTCATTCCTTAAACCTGCATAATCGTTCTAAGGCTACATCTACGCTATGAGCAAGAGGTGTGATTCCCCTCCTTGTGTGCACATAACTCACACTAGCTTCATGAGAGGTAGTGCAAGCATAAATAGTAGTGTGGGTGGCCGCAGAGCATGGGCAGCAGCAGCATGGCTCAGCCATGCCAAGTATGTACCCAGGGGGTTCAGGAGGGCTTATATTCAGCACGACTAAACGGTGCTTCCACTGCTGCTGCCCGCGCTACTGCAGCTACATTACTGTTTGCACTTGCACTAGTCCTCATCCAGCTAGCGCGAGTGTGCGTATGCAAGCACGGGAATCACACTCCCAGCATCTACTGTAGGCATACAGCCTTTCCTATCCATCCGTACAGCTGAAACTCTCATCACGGTTCTCATCATCTTCTCTCAATTAAAGCAACATCCTTCTCTCTGGCCTTGACAAATGCAGTCTTGCCCTGCTCAGATCCATTCAAAATACTGCTTCAAAGGTAATTTCCTAGTACATCGCTGTGATCATGTCACTCCTCTTTGCTTTCCTCCACTAGCCCCCGCTTCTCTGTTGCATCAAACATAATCTGCTTGCATTCACTTTCAAGGCTCTTCACAGTCTGTCCCCACATTGCCTGTCCCCTCTCATTTACTGTTGAGATATCAGCTCCCACCTCTGATTGGCCCATGGGAGAACCTCCATTGCCCACTTGCTGAATTTTCAAATAATCACCTTCGTGCTTTCCTCATGGTGCCCCTCACACTTAGGAGAAGTTCCCTGTAAACATCTACAAAGCTATGTCCTCCAAAATCCTCCTTTGTCATGATGCCTACAAAAATGTTGACCATGGTTAGGCCACTGATGTGCTGAGACCACAGCCTGTCATGTTGACCAGTATTGTCTCATTGTTTCCTTGTACTCCTCTGTCTGTCTCTGTCTCTTGTCCTTTGTTATATACTTAGATTGTAAGCTCTTTGGAGCAGGGACTGTTCTGTGTTTGTACTGTGCTTAGTACAATGGAGTCCTGGTACTTGACTTGGGCTCCTGAGGTGCTACAATAATACAAATAATTAATAACTAATTACTGTTGTGTTATGCAGCACAACCTCTGGGACCTTTGCAGTGATCCCATATGCTGCCAGTAAGCTGCCCCAGAATAGAATTTAGGGCTACTCTATGGCAGGATTCTCTAACCATTTTTGTATCACTTGGATTGATGCTTCCTCTTGTTTTTGCAATCACATTACATCCCTATAGCAATTAGAGCAATTGCTTACATGGAAGACTAATACCGGGGAAAGTACTTACACTGAACTGAAAGAAGCTAAAAATATACTATAGCTAGAAATGAGGAGGCAGAACCAGCACTGCGTGAATGGCTAGCTCACTGTAGATCAAGTGCCCTGTGGGGGAGAGACCTCGATATTGATGTTAAAATTATTATTCCTTTTTTCATAAGTCATAACAAACTTGTTTGCATCTTTTCTGAACATTAAGATATAGCTACACGCATGTTATAGCTAGGATGCTTGGAAATATAACGATACAGTATACTCCTGATTATCCGAATAGCATGGGCGACACGGATTTTATCCGGATAGCTGGGAGGTGGGATAATTGAGAAGGCGGCAGGAGCAGCAGCACAGGGAGCCCTCTGCAGTGCCACTGTCCCAGCCCTGCTCACCCACAATTCTGGATGCCTGTGAAGTAGCGATCAGTTGAACAAGGAGTGTTTATGAAACAGAAGTTCAGCAGGAAAGAAGTAACCCTCTTTCTGTGAGCTTGCTGAAAAATCTGTATTATTTCTGGGCCACCACCTGCAGCACTGCCCTGCCAAAGGGTGCCGCTGCAGAAGAGAGAAGATCCACCTTATAGTGCCCAACGAAGGTGTTCGGTGTAGACCCGGGCGGGGTCTCAACTTTTTTCTTTCTGAGGCCCCCCCACAGTAGGCTATAAAAACTCCACGGCCCACCTGTGCCACTACAACTTTTTTTCTGCCTGTAAAAGCCAGGATGGCATGTGGGGGAAGCAAGCAGGGCAGTTGCCTGGGGCCCCACGAAGCTAAGCTGCTCAGGCTTTGGCTTCAGCCCCGGGTGCTGGGGTCAGAGCAGCGTGGACTTTCTGCCCTGGGACCCAATGAGTCTAATGCCAGCCCTGTTTGGTGGACACCCTGAAACCTGCTCATGGACCCCCAGGGGGCCTGGGACCCCTGGTTGAGAACTGCTGGTGTAGCCCAAGTGGCTGCTTTGCAAATTTCTGAAGTGGGCACACTTGCTCGTTCCACCTGTGAAGTTGCTAAGGATCTTGTGGAGTGTGCCTTGATCTATAGATGCTGGAACTGGGAGTGCTGCTGCACCCCCTGGCTTGAAGTGCTTTCTATCACATACAAGGTTTACAGTTTGCTTCAGTGGCTCTCAGCACCCCCACTATACAAATTGTTCCAGCATCCTGCCTCAATCCTTTCTGGGACAGGAGCCTCTGATGATTTGTAGGCTTCCACAGTACATAGTCTAATCCACCTAGTGATGGAAGACTTGGAAGCTCTGAGTCCCTGGCATTTTGGTGGAAGGACACAAATAGGGAACCTGATTTTTTCATGGATTCTGTACACTTGCGAGAGATTTTCAGTGCTTTTCTGACATCTAAGGCATGTCACACCTCTTCAGTTGGATGTTGTAGTTTTGGACAGAACTTAATATCTTCTATGAATGCACAGTAGTAGGGGTGGTGCATTGCAGAGAAACACCTCTGAGGAGCTCAGAGGTTGGAGTGTACTGATTATTTCCTACTAGGTGAGATTTGGACTGGGAGATTCTTGAGGAGTTTGCTGGTGAGGGAGATTGACTGGTGTGGCAGGGAGCTGACAGCCTAATTTCTAGCAAAGCTCACTCTTGCTGAGGCAGAAAGATGTAAACAGAGACTCGGTGTCCCCAGCAGACTGTTACACCCTTGCAGTTCCACAGTCCGGGGGACCAAAAGTGGTTCATGGACCCCAGTTTGTCAAACTCCTAAATATTTGTATTCCTGTCAAAATAGACTTTTGTTTCATTGCTATTAATAAACATTTTCACTGTTTGCTTTTTTTCAGGTTCTGTCAACTTCTGGAGTCCGTTCAGTGGAATCCCACTTACAGCAAGCTTCATACCTGTAAGTTTGAGCGATGAATTTCAGAGGGCTAAGCTGTGTAGGACTGAGTGCAGCATACTTCTTACAGTTCAAGATATACTCTGTATGGGGGAGGAGGGGAAACATTGCTTTGCTTTGCTAAATTATGGTAAGTACACATCTGCTTGTTTAGATTTATTATGAGCATTCATATGTTGCAGTTTTATTTCCATTATAATCAATATAGTATTATCATGCTGCATGAATTATTAGCTAACAACACAGCCTGTATTAATGTTTGTCTCAGTCTAGAGTGAAATCCCACATCAGCAGTATTGCCGTCACTGCAGACGATTCATTTATTTATGCAGCAGATGATGATGGATACGTGTATGTCTACAGCATCAAGGACTATGCCCTTCAGGACCCGGAGAGAGAACCACCAAAATGTGTGTCTTGTGGACTGGGTTTTAATATATTAAATATTTTTGTATTTGTATTTTTATATATAAGTATAAAACATATTTTGGAACATATGTGATCTGGGGGAAAAGGGTTTAAAAACCAAGTCCTTCTCATGATCTGTGTCTACTTATACTTCTATTTCATTGTAGTATTTTAAGCCCCCTTTTCCAAATCATGTATGCTCCAAAATGTTTATGCCTTAGCTTGTTCTTAGCTGAGTATGGTGGCCATAGTTCCCATATAATTTCCTTAACAAAATTAATACACTGTGGACCAAATACAGGCAAATCTCAATTGAATTCAGTGGGAAGGAAGGACTGAGTGAAACCTGGATGAGACTTCAGGATTTCATCTGGTGCAATGGTTCTCAACCTATTTACCATTACGGGCCACATATGCAGCTCTGTATGTGTTATGTGGGCTACATCCACTCAATATCCTCAGGGCTGTACAGGTAGTATATATGTCACATGGCGTGCAACTGTGTACTGATTGGGCCACAAGCGGCGTGCGGGTTGCAGGCTGAGAACCACTTATCTGGTGACGTTTATAACTGTGTATCTTAGTGGGAGCTACCAAGTAACAGAAAACGGAGCAGTTTCAAAATACATCCAGGGTAAAGTTTTAACAACTTCGTTGCATTTACAAAAAAAAATTGCTTTAAAACCATGAATACTCTTTAATGTCCTTGCTTCTTAGGTAGTGGTTGGTTTACACCTAACATTTCTATCTTACCTGACACAGTGCAGTGTTCTTGTGTAGTAACATATTTGTGTATTCATCTGAATTATATGTATAATACATATTTATTCTCTATATTGCTGTAGATGTGAATCATTGGAGAGCTCATGTAAATATAGTTGTATCGTAAGTACTGTCTCGTGTTTTTAACAGAATATTTTTATGTATAAATACACAAACCTGCACACGTGTTTCTTGATATAAATATAATTAGGTTTTATGTCTACTGTGATAACATCTAAAAGGCTCAGTCATGAGTCAGGATCCCTGGTCCATCTTCCACTATTATATGATGATCATGTGCAGTACATACTTTTCAAATGACAAACTCATTTATGGTTCACTTCAGTGTCATTCAGCACTATCAGAAATATACAATATCAGATATTGCTTTGAGCTGTAATCCCTTGAAACAATGAATACTGTAGCAGCATTCCCATTAAACTTTAGCATTGGCAGAAATGACCCATGTAGACAATTTGCAACACAAGAAGTTTCTAATGACAAAATGTAAGTGACATGGTGTCATAAGTCTTTAGTTAATATGGTTCTTAAGTAGATTTGTTCTGATTATCACTTTCATTTTGATAGAGTAGAGGTGGTTGATGAAGAAAAAGTCCTGCTCTCCTCTTCTATTGATTGTACTGTTCGTCTGTGGAGTCTGGGTGGAGAGTACATTGGTAAGGCTTATATCTACAAAAACAGCATGGCTAGGATAGTCAACTTTAAAAAGGAGTGACATACAACAAAAATATCTACTCAGGTAGCCCCTGTGGATATTCATAAACTCCCATGTTGCTGTATCCATAGGCTAATAAATTATCTTAGCCAGAGGAGTCTCAGCTCACAGTGGAGTATTTCATGTTAGGACTTACACGTTTTCATGGATAAGCAGACCCTGTTTCAGTTCTACATGGGCTACGTTTGGCTCACGAGGCACGATTTGCCCACCCCTGAAATAGATGCTCTATTTTTTATTCCCAGTGAAAGCCAACAGTGGCATTAAAATAGTGTATGATAAAACTGCTTTCCAATACAGAGCTTTCTAAGGTGGTAGAGTATGGCCACATCATATTTAGAAATGGCTGTCCTTCAGTTCAAAGCACTAAAGGTTAGATTTTGAAGTATTTACATGCCTAAAGATGCAGATAGGCACCTAGTGGGGATTTTGCAATTAATAGGAGTTAGGTGCATAGGCACTTTTGAAAATTCCATTACATGCTATCTGCATATTTAGACACCTAATTAAAATATCTTTAAAAATCTGTCCCTAAGTGCCTGATCCAACACCTCCACTCAAGCAAACAGATATCTTTTGATTGGCCTCAGAGGCATTGGATCAGACCCTAATGAAATAAAATCTCCTGACAAACTACCTTGCAATTAAAGACTTTTCTGGTTAGTTTATTTCATCCACAAAAGTTTTTAAACCACAAGTGCTCTTCCGAGACACAATTTCTTTTCAAAGTTCTTCCCAGCAGCAAAAAGTTTGTATACTTTAAAAAGTAAAATTTTTAAAAAGTTGCTCTCTGTCTTAGTTGTGACTTCCCTTGATTTTAGGAGAAGGGTTGGGGCTGTGTACCCTTTGAAACTTTACAATGCCTGCTTGTTTGTATTTTCTTTCTAGGGACTTTTGGGCAGGCAGAACCATGGGAAATTTTCACACCTGCCTCCTGGAAACATCCCAGGGTTCCCTATGAAATCTTGATGAACCCACAAAGCATGCCAATTCACCCCATGCTAGAAGGAGAATCACCTGTCTTACAACCCATAAACACAGAGCCAAGTAATGTAACTCTGGAAAACTCCTTATCTAAGGTTTGTGTATAGGCAGCAAAGTGGGGGGTATTTCACGTGGGGTGGCTGTTTTGCATGTTATCTAGTGAAGTGCACCTGTAGGAAAATGATGTAATAGATTTATGTAAGGCATTTGTAAGGCAAATGGATTAAAACTGTCTAGCTATAGGTCTCAAAATGTAAATGTAAGTGGGGAATCGTCAAGAAGATGTATTTCAAGTGAGGGCCCACAGGCATCAGTTCCTGGCCCTACCCTGTTAAACATTTTTTTATCCATGTCCTGCAAGAAAGCAAAATCATTACTGGTGAAGTTTGCATATGACAAAGATTTGGGGAGTTGTAAATAACAAACAACTAGTCACTGTTGCAGTGTTTTCTGGATTGTTTGGTAAGCTGGGTACTAGCAGATGTGTTTCAGTAGGGCCAAAGTCATACATCTAGGCCTGAAGAATGCAGGTGCCATGCTCACAGGATAGGGGACTCTATCCTAGGAAATAGTGACTCTGAAAAGATTTGAGCCATGGTGGACAATCAGCTTAATGTGAAATCCCAATGTAACACTAGGGCCAAAAGAGAATATAGAGTAGGAGTAGAGAGATTATATTACCTTTGTATCTGGCACTGGAGCAACCACTACTTTGTCCAGTTCTTGTGTCCACAATCAAGAAGGATGTTGATAAATTATAGAGGGTTCAGAGAAGAACCAAGAGAATAATTAAAGGCTTGGAAAATGCGCCTTACACTAGCTTGAAGGAACTCAATCCGTTCAGGTTAAGAAAAGGTTAGGAGTGACTTGACCATAGTTTCAGGATCTACATGGGGAACAGATATTTAATAATGGCCTCTTCCATCTAGCAGAGACAGGTATAACAAGATCCAACAGCTGGAAGCTAAAGCTAGCCAAATTCAGACTAGAAATAAGGCATAAATGTTTAATAATGAGGGTAATCAACCCCTGAAACAGCTTAAAGGTTGTGGTACATTCTCCAGCACTAGAATCTTTTAACTCAAGACTGGATGTTTTCCAAAAAGATAGCTCTTATTCAAACAAGAATTAATTCAGGGAAGTCCTATGACCTTGTTATGCAGGAGGTCAGACTAAATGACCATGATAGTCCTTTTTGGCCTTCTATCTGTGAATAGACAACTTACAGCCCAGTTTTCATTTTTTACCTTTAAACCATAGTGTCTAGGACCTTGCTCCTGAAAATCCTAGCACAGGTGCACACAGTTGTGTTGCAGTGCAGCTGAAGACTACATGTGAGCACAGTTAAGATTAGACTAGGCACAGGCCCCTGCATTGAACATATGCAAGTATCTGGCCCCTGGCATACCTGTACCTTTACTTGCAAGTAGCCATCTTTCCAGGAAAAAGGTGTGGGAACACAATGGGTTTCTTCCTTCTGAGTTCTCAGTATCCATTTCACAATATAGGGATTACTTTAGTTTCACTGTCTTTTCTCTTTTTAAATAGCAATCAGTGTGTAGTGGTTCAAGTCAGTGTTCCTTTGAAAAGACTTCCCACAAATCTTCCATTCCAATTATCTGTCTGGCTCCTGATTAGTTTTTTTCGATATGTAAGAACAAGCTGAGATTTGAATCTCAACAAGACTAAAGACCAGGCAGACTGGTATAGCGGGCTATAGGAATTCGTTTCTTTTAAAATAAAATCCATTATGAGGAAGAAGTCCTCCTGGTAGTGTAGCAATCAAGGTTTGCCTCCATCTTCCTTCTCAAACCAGAATGCTGTATCAGCAAAAAAAATTTTTTTAAATAAGCAGTTACAAGTAGTTTACCAGAGTTCAGTCCACATACATGAAGCTAAAATTGATAGCATCCCATGCTGTATCCTAAATAGTAAGCAAAGAAGAGTGCATGCAGCCTGCTAAATGCATATTCTTATTAATACAATCTACTTGAAGAATTGTCACAACATAAGGTTCATGCAAATTGAGGCCTTACATAAGATTGTAACCTGAGAACCTTCCAAATAAATTTAACAATTAACACACATGTATGACACCGAATACATTTAATTCATCCCTCATCTCTGTTTTAAAGCAACTGATTTCTTCCAAACATTTTTTAAATGGTTTACTCAAACTCGTAAGAGCTGCCCCAGAAGTGACAGGATTAGATAGAGGGACCATCATGGCAGTAATATGAAGAAATGTAGTGGCAGTCTAAATACTTCCTGCGTTGCTAAGTGTTCTCTTGGTGTGTTTTTAGCATGAAGTGAGCTATAATCCCAAACTTCCTCAAGTCACCATTCCTGACCTGGATATCAAAGAGGAAATCAACCAGCGGTCTTATGCACAAGCTTTGAGTAAAAGGTAAAAAGAAAACAAGGCCACCAGGTAAATTAATTTCCCCCCACTTTCAAGACAAATTAATAATTCATGCTTTCAATTTTCTTTCCTTAGATTGAAGCAGGAGCATTACAAGAAGATAAATAGACCACTTGCGTCTGGGGGACAGAGTACATATCACCTAATCAACAGCTGCGAAGTTGTCATTGCTCCACCAATATGTAAAAAGCCTGACTTGTCTGTTCTTGGTACAGACTACTTTTATGAAGAATCGTTAGGGGAAGAGTAGAGCAATAATTCTGGAGGTAAACTGAGCATAGGACCATCTGTCCCTTCAGTGGTAGAAAAGCAGTTATTTTTGTTTCTGGTGTAATTTTTCTTCTATTGTTTTGACAGAAATACACTTAAAATATGGTGAAGTGGGTTCTAGCCCACGAAAGCTAATGCCCAAATAAATTTGTTAGTCTCTAAGGCGGGGCGGGCAAATTTTTTGATCTGAGGGCTGCATTGGGTTTCCAAAATTACATGGAGGGCTGGTTAGGGGAGGCTGTGCCCCAGCCCCCTTGGGACCCCTGCCCCATCCAACCCCCCCAGTTCCCTGACTGCCCCCTGGGACCCCTGCCTCATCCACACACCCCCATCCTCTGTCCCCTGACCACCCCTGGACCCCACACTGCCCCATCCAACCCCTCCTCTCATTCCTGACTGCCCCCCTGGGACCCCTACCCCATACAACCACCTCTTCTCCCTGACCACCCCCAGACCCCCCCACCCCTAACTGCCCCCTGCTGCCCCATCCAACCTCTCTCCTTCCTAACTGTCCCCCGGGACCCCTGACCACCCTGGAACCCCTGCCCCTGACTGCCCCCCCGCCCCATCCAACCCCCCCACTCCTTCCTGACTGCCCCCCTGGGACCCTTCCCCCATTCAACCCCCCTGTTCGCCGCCCTCTGACCGCCCCGGCCCCTGACCACCCCCTGCCCTCTATCCAACCTTCCCTGCCCCCTTACCACGCTGCCTGGAGCACCAGTGGCTGGCGTCGTGGCTGCACCAGGACAGGCAGGCGCGCCATCTGGCTGGAGCCAGCCATGCACCGTGCAGCACAGAGCATCGGGTCAGGCCCAGAGCATTGCGCCAGCAGCACAGTGAGCTGAGGCTGCAGAGGAGGGGCTAAGGGAGAACCTCTGGGGCTAGGCAGGAGGGTCCTGTGGGCCGGATGTGTTTGCCCACATCTGTTCTAAGGTGCCACAAGGACTCCTCGTTTTTAACTTAAAATATGCATGTTTCTTAATCGCTTCTGGATAGTTTATCCTTCTAAGCTTCCTACTATAGTAGCTCATCAATTAATTCTCTAGAGCTGGACTTATGTGGCATTTAAACAAGAATTATATAAGCAAAAAGTGAAACCAGAACATGACTGTTAAATAAACAATTCCATATTAACTAGAGGCTGGTGATATAATAGCACTGTGGAAGCATAGTAAATCTGCACACTTAAGGCCTTAGCAGCCTTGGTTTAGGTCTAGTGAGACTTTGGGGGTCCAAGCTATGGTTGGTGTATTGCATATGCTCCTGGGAGAATTCTGCACCAAAAATTAAAAATTTCATGCACAATATTTTAAAATTCTGCATATTTTGTGTGTCAAAATAACACAATATAGCCACACCAATTTCAATTATTTTTGGTCATTTATTTCAAAATACCGGTCAGCAAGTATGTCTGCAACAGTACAGACAACAAAAAAGATTCAGGAAATATTTCTTGACAAATAGATTCCTTCCTAGTCATATTAATACAGAACTCTGGGTAATAATTCATTTAAACTACACTACAGAACCATATTTCCCACACTGCTCAGAAGCAGTGCAAAGGCTACTAGAGTCAGGGGTAATGGAGGAGCTGAGGGAGAGGGAAGTAAGTTGCTGGGAAGGAGCCTGGGTGAGAACTTGGAGGGTTGTTGGGTATGGGTGGGAAAAGTATGGACCAGGTTTTTGTGTGGGGTAGGAAGGGATTATTATGGAGCTTCTTCCATGCAGACCCTGGCTGATGCCTAGCCTCTCCCATTGGCAGGCACATCTGCCCCATCCCCATGTGTTCCTGCACCCCCACTCAGACACCCCCATTGTGGCCTTGTACCTCCTTCCCCTTATGTGGCTCTGTACCCCAACCCCATGTCTATGCCCCCACGCTTGTCACTATACCCCCTCCCCATGTCTGTGCCCCCACTCAGCCACCTTCTGTCCCTCTGCACCCCCTTCCCCATCACCATGTGGCCCTGTGCCTCCACCCCCATTCAGCCCCTGCCCTGGTCTATCCTTCTCAACTTGCCCTTATGACCCCCTTCCCCCCCACAGCACCCTATGCTGTCTCCCTCCCCAGAGTCCCCATCTGCTGACCGGCACTGAGAAGAAGGCAGAGTCTCTCTCTTCCCTGGCTGGCTAGCAGCTGCTGCTGTGTTCTGTTGCCACAGCACCCTCACGTGGGCAAAAGGCAGAACTGCAGCAACATTTTGGCTGAAGCTTTTTTCCACACAAAAAATTAATATGCACAGCTCATTAATTATGTGCACACACACAGTAGTGTACAATTCCCCCAAGAGTAGCATATGCACCTGATATGGAGCTGAGCAGTGATCAGAAGAGCCTGCCCTGTCAAACAGTGCTCTGATATTACAGCTACTTATGGTAGCTCAAGAGGGGCCAAAGCAGGAGGGAGCTGGTGAAAAGTTGCAGGCAGGAATATGCCCCCCTCAGAGCTAGTGGAGGAGGCAGGAATGGGGTTGGAGGAGGAACACAAAACAGGGCCAGCAAAAGGGTGTAACTGGCTTTCTTAGTACTGACTAATCAGGTATGGTCTGCACCATTAAATCAACTCTGTTCGGAGTAGTGCTAAGCTCACCCTTTTGCTTGTAGTACGTAAGTTGTTCCTTGTAGCAGTAAGCAAGCCAGCCCCCCCAACTGCATGCTACTGTCTTGTAGATCTTATTGGGCTGTCTATTTAACAGGAAGGCTTCATCACCACCATTGTGTCCTCCACATCAATTGTTCCTTTGCAAGAAACTTGACCAGAAATTCCTGAGGGGAGAATCTTAACCTTTAACTGGCTTTTCAAGCTGGCCCTCCCCTAAAGCTGCTTGCTCAGTATGGGAGAACATCTCATTTACCGTGTTTGTTTGAGATCAACTCCTTTCTAATAAAGGCCAAGAAAGACTTCCAACTGATTTTTAAAAAAGGAGTAGTAGTGGCACCTTAGAGACTAACCAATTTATTTGAACATAAGCTGTAGCTCACGAAAGCTCATGCTCAAATAAATTTGTTAGTCTCTAAGGTGCCACAAGTACTCCTTTTCTTTTTGCGAATACAGACTAACACGGCTGCTACTCTGAAACTGATTTTTAGTGTCTCTTTAGACCCACTTCTAAAGCTTTTGAAAGTTTTATGCCCAGCCTTTGATATTTTAAGTTTCCAGGCAGTCATGCTGTTCCCAGATGCGTGCTGGTTTGTGCAGTTAAGAGTAACAAACTGTTTCTGCTTGGGTAGGCTGAGTATCCACAACTCCAATTTTTTCCATACTCAATGGGAGGGCAGGGGGAAGTTCTATAAGCTTCTTTTCACACAACACAGCTATTTGGCTTTATTGTCTTTACCATTTGTGACAAAAGACAGCAGTCACACTGAAAACAGGACTGAACATAATCAAGGCAGCATTTTAGGAAATACCAGTTAGATGAACTTTATTATTAAAGCTCATTAAAAGGTTTCACAACAAGATGAACAGGATCAGCATCTCCTTCATTTTGCTTTCTCCACATGAAAATGTACTGTTTAACAAGATGAAATCTACTACTTAACATGCTACTTAACACCTTTCACCATCTTACTAGTCAGCTAGGGTGCAGGACAGTGATAAAGAGAGTGAGGCTTAGGACAGGAGGTTTATTTTGTTCATTGTAAATTGAACAGCAATTGGCTTTATACAGATGTGCCAAATCAGAGGTCAAATGAAAGAAAACTACCGTGGCATCTACAAGTGCTTATGACTATTTCAGTTACAAGCCTGGTGAAGGAGCAGTAAGTATCATAGCAAAAACTGATTTCATCCTTACTGAAGCTAACGGTTAAATACTGCACAGAAGCTTAGTATGAAATCACAATTCCACAGGAATCTGAAAGTTACGAAGGCAATTTTCCTTTTTATGGTAGTCATGATCAGCTTTCTACTCCCCCGCCCCACCATCATACAACACATTCCAGACAACTTTATGAAAAAAATATAAATAGTTCCCAGAACTATATGTCCCCCCCACAAAATCACATACTAAAGCAACAATATTTTCTTTCATGAGATCAAATTGCTCAATACAATGCAGTAGTCTAGTCCAAGTCCATGCTCGTCGTGTTTTTATCGTTTGGATGACAATCACCATTTTGTTGATGGATTTCAGCATTATTTTTATCTTCTTCCATACCTTCATTTGTATGAAGACTGGGTCCATTCAATGGATTTTCCTCTTTAGGTGAGTCAACATTTGGTTTTGGTTGCAGCACTACAGGCTCACACACACTGTGTAATTCCTAAGATCAAGAGAGGCACTCAGAATACAATTCATGTGATCAGCAAGCTACCTGACGAGCCAGCACTGCTGGTCAGAGACTGATTCCCAGTACCTTTGCTTCCTGAGCACAAAGAGGCTGGAGATACTTTAGGGGTAGCATATCTAGTTTACTTTTTAGACAGGTTATATTAAGGTTCTTTATACAACACTTTGGCACTTTAAGTGAAAAAAAAAATCCAATCTCTCAGAAATGTTGCACAGCTTTAATATTTTCTTACACACCCTGTTATATGTATTTACATACTATTGGAAAAGCAGACACTGAATTTTTAACTCTACTGAAAGATGTTTGTAGTGTAAGTTTATCTGCCTAACCCATATATATAGTAAAAACATTCTCCACAGAAATTTTTAAAATAGATTCTAGCTTCATCCCTCCCTTGCTACTCAGATTATTAATTATCCTTTAGAGCTGCCAACCAGTTAGAACATACTGTGATTTCTAAATAATGGCCTAGCTATATCACTAGTCAGTTGTTAGAATTAATTTCTTTCAGCACTAACCTTTAGCTTTGCTTTGATTTCACTTGCACATACAACTGGATCTTGATCAAGACTCATTTTAGCCTGGGCATTCATAACATTACTCATCCATTCCATCATTTCCTTGACACATTTCTCCACTTCTATCATTTCTGATTCATCAATGTGAATGTATTTCTCATCCTGCATGGAGTTGAATATTTTGGGTTTGTCAGTAAGAACCAGTTCAATGATATCAGATTATCCGGACAGACCATCCAAGTTGGTTGTGTTCTCTCACTATTTAAATATTTGTTACATTACTGCTTACTTTGGAAAGAAAACAAGTTCACTGCAGCAAGAAGGGCCATGAAACAGTGGCAGAATCAAACC